GATCCTAAGTTCTGTCCCACAAAGTAATCTTAGGGCTATGATGATCATAATTCCCATACTGTAACATAGACTTACAATCACTGCAGCGCTAAGATCGCTATGATGATCATAATTCCCATACTGTAACATAGACTTACAATCACTGCAGCGCTAAGATCGCTATGATGATCATAATTCCCATACTGTAACATAGACTTACAATCATTGCAGCGCTAAGATCGTACGATGATCATAATTCCCATACTGTAACATAGACTTACAATCACTGCAGCGCTAAGATCGCTATGATGATCATAATTCCCATACTGTAACATATATTTACAATCACTGCAGCGCTAAGATCGTACGATGATCATAATTCCCATACTCTAGCATAGACTTACAATCACTGCAGCGCTAAGATCGCTTGTGGAATGGACCTTTTTACTACAGGATGAGTCACTCGTACTTCCTCATTTTCCATTTTATCTTCATCTCATGATTTGGTTCACGATCCACATTAAACTGACATGCTGTTACAGAACTGAAGTTAGGTTCAAAGTGGTGAAAACCCTACTCAGTCAGACTAAATGTTTTCTTTTTGTTGCTAATAGTGGCATATAACCCTACTCCCTCACTCGCTCATAAAACCGCTCCAGCGTATGTTGACTCACCTGAGTGGCCACTCCACTCGCGCATCTGCTGTAACTGACTCAGCTGTGTTGGGTTTACTGTTACATGTGCTCAGTTTGTTTACCTCCTGTAGACTGTTTTCAAAGCCATTAATTAAGAAATTTCTAGCAATAAGATTAGAGGTGGGTTTATGATAAGCCTCAGTCTAGAATTACCTAGCACCTGGTTTGAGTCAAATGTTTTAGGGTGTAGGTGCGAGGATACATGTTAGCAGTTTGGAATTGATTGAAGAGTGGGGTGTGTGAGCATGTTTTCAGGTAAGAAAGGTTTGGGTAATTATTTTTGAGAATGTTGTCTGGTGTGTGTGTGTGGTGTGTAAGGGGTGGGGTCGGTCTGGCAAAATGTCAATGTGAGAGAGAGAGAGAGAGAGAGGTGTATCAAGGCGTATGTGTGTCAGAGCTTGTGTGTGTGTCGGAGCTTGTGTGTGTGTCAGAACTTGTGTGTGTCAGAGCATATGGGTGTATCAAGACATGTCAGAGCTTGTGTGTGAGAGGATATGGGTGTATCAAGACATGTGTCAGAGCTTGTGTACGTGTGAGAGAGAGTGTGTGTGTGAGAGAGGACATGTTGGTGTATCAAGGCATATGTGTGTCATAGCTTGTGTATGTGTGAGTGAGAGAGAGTGATAGAGAGAGTGTGTGTGTGTGAGAGAGAGAAAGTGTGTGAGAGGACATGTTGGTGTATCAAGGCATGTGTGTCATAGCTTGTGTATGTGTGAGTGAGTGATAGAGAGTGTGTGTGTATGTGTGAGAGAGAATGTGTATGTGTGTGAATGAGAGAGTGTGAGAGAGAATGTGTGTGTGAGGGAGAGAGATAATGTGTGTGTGAGAGTGTGTGAGAGAGAGAGAGAGAGTGTGTGTGTGTGTGTGTGAGTGAGTGTGTGAATGAGAGAGTGTGAGAGAATGTGTGTGTGAGGGAGAGAGATAATGTGTGTGTGTGAAAGTGTCTGAGAGAGAGAGAGAGTGTGTGTGTGTGTGAGTGAGTGTGTGAATGAGAGAGTGTGAGAGAATGTGTGTGTGAGGGAGAGAGATAATGTGTGTGTGTGAAAGTGTGTGAGAGAGAGAGAGAGAGTGTGTGTGTGTGTGTGAGTGAGTGTGTGAATGAGAGAGTGTGAGAGAATGTGTGTGTGAGGGAGAGAGATAATGTGTGTGTGTGAGAGAGTGTGTGTGAGAGAGAGTGTGCATGTGAGAGAGAGGGGTAGAGTGACTGAATGAATGAGTAGGAGACAGAGACAGAACATGTTGATGTATCAAGGCATGTTGGTCAGGGTTTATCGATGTGTCAGGGTCATGTCTTGGTGTGTCAGAGTTTGTTGGTGTGTCAGAGTTTGTTGGTGTGTCAGAGTTTGTTGGTGTGTCAGAGCCTGTTGGTGTGTCAGAGCTTGTTGGTGTGTCAGAGCCTGTTGGTGTGTCAGAGCCTATGTGTGTCAGAGTTTGTTGGTGTGTCAGAGTTTGTTGGTGTGTCAGAGCCTGTTGGTGTGTCAGAGCCTATGTGTGTCAGAGTTTGTTGGTTTGTCAGAGTTTGTTGGTGTGTCAGAGCTTGTTGGTGTGTCAGAGTTTGTTGGTTTGTCAGAGTTTGTTGGTGTGTCAGAGTTTGTTGGTGTGTCAGAGTTTGTTGGTGTGTCAGAGCCTGTTGGTGTGTCAGAGCCTATGTGTGTCAGAGTTTGTTGGTGTGTCAGAGTTTGTTGGTTTGTCAGAGTTTGTTGGTGTGTCAGAGTTTGTTGGTTTGTCAGAGCTTGTTGGTGTGTCAGAGTTTGTTGGTGTGTCAAGAGCTTGTTGGTGTGTCAGAGTTTGTTGGTGTGTCAAGAGCTTGTTGGTGTGTCAGAGCCTATGTGTGTCTTTGTGTGACATATTGTGAGGTTTATGTGATGAGAGTGGGAACTGAGAAGCAGAGCCCATCATGATCTCACGCAACTGGTAAAACACTTGTTACTTCCGGGGAAGTCGGCTTCCTCATTATCTGTAATAGGTTGACTAACAACTGCTGGCTCGGCCCCAGAGCTGACTGTGCCTGCCCCAAGTGTAATAGTTAAGTCACAAAATCAGTTAGCAACTACATACAAATGAAAATACAAAGTACATATGATGCTAGGCCAGATCTAAGGAGCTTAAAGTGGTCTTTAATGTTAGGTTTCGGTTTGCTTATTTTAATTTTTTTTTTTTTGATGTGACAGTTTTCCTGTTATAGAGTCACTTGCCTTATGGAGGAGTGTTAGTCTGTCTCACAGGCCTTGAACCATTTTATTTTCCCTTTTACCCAGCGCTTACCGTGTCTAGAGTTTCCACAGGTTCTGTTTGTTTGTTTGTTTGTTGTTTAACGCTGCACTCAGCAATATTCCATCTATATGACAGCGGTCTGTAAATAATCGATTCTGGACCAGACAATCCAGTGATTGACATCATGAGCATCGATCCACACAATTGGGATATGATGACATGCATCAACCAAGTCAGCGAGCCTGACCACCCGATCCCGTTAGTCGCCTCTTACGACAAGCATAGTCGCCGGTAACAGCAATCTTCACAGGTCCCACAGGTTTTGAATCTCACTGAGGCTCCTTCTCAGTTCACATGGAATTGCCTGTTTCTATCATAATATTATACTTTCAGAGACTAAAGCATTAGTCTAGGGGAGTATTGATCTCAGTCTGTGTGACAAAAGACAGGAATTCCTCTTCCAAGTTGATATGTTGATGTTGGTCACTTCAAATTCCTTTACCCATGTGTTAAATGTTATGCTGAGCACAAACAGGCGTCAGGGCCCAGGACCGATGGAGGCATTTCAATTAAATACTCAATTTCAAACTTTAAGGCTGTATTTTCAAATTCACCCTCAAGTTTATAGCTACCACTTGTGTAATAACGACAAAGGGGTCACAGGTTGCTGGGCAGATTTGCCTCTCTTAACTGTGCCAGGATCTGCTGGTTTAGATACTACTACAAATTTGCCCTAATTATGATCCTTGGAGTGCCATCTCCTTGCTGTGTTAATGGGCCTCACCAGAATTGTAACTTTTGGACGTTCTTTGACATTAAGCTGACACTCTCTAATATCACTGAAATGCTTTTAAGCACCTTTAAACCCACAGATTCACTCACTCAGTAATCACAAACGATCAAAGTCACGTCAGGGGACTGGTTTATGTACTAAATGCATGTTTGATCTTGAAGGACTGCATGCCATCATGGTTGAATTTTGAAACATGACTTGGGATTTGAGTATTCTTACAGATTAATAGATGGATAATCCCTGTTTATATTATTTTTGTCAGATTAAACCTTATGAAGAATTATTTATGTTTAAGCTGTAATAGAATATTATAATTTTGAGTAACACAAAATGAAAAATTATAAGAAATTATGTATTGTAATACAAACAAATATATATGTATTGGAGGTTAAGGGAGTGTGAATATAAAAATATATACAAGGCATTCTTCATAATACCATTATTTTAATTATATGCATGTAGCAAAATTCCAACAAATCATTCAACAGCTGTTGCTGATATTGAATTCCTTGTGTGCATAAGTATTGTTTACTGCTGAGTAAGCAGTTTTTTTCGGGAATTTTGTAATTCATCTGATGTTGAAATAAAAAACTGTATAGTTGCTAGGTTACAGAGTTCGCAAATATTAGAAATTGTTAAAGCAAGATCCTGGAAGGAATTTTCAGTTCAGATGGAAAAAAATTAGATATAACAGATACCTTGGCTACATCAGGAAAATATGGCTGCTTCTGAAAAAAGTGTTAAGTGTTAAAACTGGATGCTGCTTTTATTAATCTCGAGGTTGAAATTCATATTATTTTTGTTTTAGAAGAGACTATCATCATAAACACAGATCGAGGTATCACAATTCTGAGGATACTAACAAGATTATAAGCAGATGTTCTATAAATACCAGGGTTTTTCGTAGTGTTTATGTGTTATCAAGTTGCTCACCTGTCTCTGTGTATACAGAGTCTGCAATTAAGCAGTTTAACAACTGTGTATATACATGTAATGCACAATTTATCTTACCGTTTTGCCAGCCTTATGTATGTTGTGTCGGCAGTCATTGAATAATTGCCATGCACCCAAAATGAAGACCCAAGAGGTAGTGTTGCTTAGGGGATGCTAAGCAGGTTCCGAATTATCCCTGTCTGTTGTGACACGACTGGATTGCGGATTGGTTGTTGGCTGTGTTAACCTGACCTGCAACATGACTTGTTGCTCATGCTATCGACCATTGGTTTGTCCAGTCCAGTTTTAATCATTGACAAGCTTCTGTGACCTGTATGTACAGTCACTGTTGTACAATGTCTTTAACCAAGTTTTTGTACTTGCAGGTATTTTTTCGGCCTGGAGCGCTAGCACAGTTGGAGGTAACGAGAGATGAGAAGATTACGGGCACTGTGACAGCCTTCCAGTCCTTCTGCAGAGGGTTCCTCGGTCGCAAATACCTGGAGAAACTCAGGGTAAGGGTCAAACTTTTTTCCATTGTGAAGCCCTCATAACCCTCCCCGTATCATCACTGATGGGGGCACGGGTGGCCCAGTCGTCTAAGGCGCCGCGATTCGCTGTGCAGAGTTGCGTCCCTTGGGCAAGCCAGAAACCTATGATTCTGGGTTCGAATCCCGGTTCGCCCTGATTATGTTTCTAGGTTTGTCAGCACCGTACCCATGCTCATGGGTTTCACTTCAGGCTTTCATCCCACATTAAGCTGACACGCCGTGATATAACTGGAATACTGTTAAAAGCGGCGTTAAACCCAAATCACTCACTCACTCATCGCTGCTACTTGTGTCCAGGTGGCCATTACAAGAATCTTGAACATCTTTTCTCAAACGCTAAATGTAGTGGTATTTATTTTTGTGTGTATGTCTTTGGGAATGCCTTTATAGTCTTACTGTTTACCACTTACTATTTCGTAGACTAATTTATGTTAGTTTGTTAAATCAGAATGGTTCCAGATTGTATACTGATGGAAGAGGGAGTGATAGCGAAGACTGATAGTGACATGTTGTTCAAACTCTGGCAAAATGCCTTGTTTTTCTGAGCACTCACCAAAATAAGGATAATATCGTATTGGACGTAATAATATGTGAGACCTAAAAATAGTAAAGTTTTCTCGTTTGAACAATTCCTGTAACATGGGGTACGTGTCTTCGTCTGAGAGTTGATCACTCAGACGTGCATCAAGTGTCTATCACTTTCCCGGAATGTGTATATATTCTGAGCGTCCTTGACCTTGTCGTCTTGTCCCAGGTCCAGCATCTGGCTGTCAACTGCATCCAGAAGAATGTGAGGAAGTACATGTTCATCAGAGACTGGGAGTGGTGGAGACTCTACACCAAGGTCCAACCCCTCCTGAACGTCCACCGCACAGAAGAGGAACTCCGTAACGCTGAGGTACTGCTTCCTGTCTCCTACCAGAGTTCCTTGCACCTCTCCCTCAGACCAGCAAGATGTGATGATTCATCACACCTTGCATGTCCATTCAACAAATTATATTTGTTTATGTCCCTTTACATTCTAAAATAGTCTACACATTTGACATGGTTAACTTTCATAGAGAAAATACCTTTAAACATGAAAATCTATTTGAATTTGAATATTTATCCTTTGTTTACAAAGGTTGTACGGAACCGTGAAGAACGGGGTAGAGTAGGTCTTCAGCAACCCATGCTTGCCGTAAAAGGCGACTATGCTTGTCGTAAAAGGCGGTTAATGGGATCGGGTGGTCAGGCTCGCTGACTTGGATGATGCATGTCATTGTATCCCAATTGGGTGGATCAATGCTCATGATGTCAATCACTGGATTGTCTGGTCCAGACTCAATTATTTACAGACCGCCGTCATATAGCTGGAATATTGCTGAGTGCGGCGTTAAACAACAAACAAACAAACCAACATTGTACTTCTCCCTCACACCAGCATGATTCGTCACACCTTGCATGTCCTTTCAACGAATTATATTTGTTTATGTCCCTTTACATTCTAAAATAGTCTACACATTTGGCATGGTTAACTTTCATAGAGAAAATACCTTTAAACATGAAAATCTATTTGAATTTGAATATTTATCCTTAGTTTACAAAGGTTGTACGGTCCCATGTTCATGTATTGAACCCCTTTAGATAGATAGCTATGTGGTCATTTTGATATTAAAGAGACATTGTCATACTGCTCACTGTCAATCTAAGCATTAAGCAAATCAATCTGTAAATTTCACTGAAAGATACGATGACATGCATCAACCAAGTCAGGGACCCTGACCACCCAACCCCGTTAGTTGCCTCTTATGACAAGCATGGGTTGCTGTAGACCAATTCTAACCTGGATCTTCACAGATTTTACCTGATGTAGCATGATATGACTTAAATACTGTTTAAACACAACTCATCAGCATTGTCCCCAGATACCTTACTAAAATGGATCGGATGACTTTGTTGAATGTCATCGTATCTCAACAGCTTGCGATACTGCTCATGATATCAACCACTGGTATGTCTGGCCGAGATAATAATTTATGGACAACCATGATATGGCTATGATATTGCGCATTGACATATAAATAATTGACAAACAATAAACAAAAACTCCAGATTGACACCAGTGATGCGTGTTTGCTTCAGGCGGAACTAGAACAGATGAAGACGAAGCTGGAGAAGGTTGAGAAGGACCGGGCGGACTACAAGCTGCAATGTGACAAACTGGAAAACAGGGTATGTGACGTGTGTGGTACAGTCACGATGTACAAACCTCAAACAATATGTGATGATTCCTACCTCAAGATGACCGCCTCTGTGGTCTAGTGGTAGAGCATCCACCAAGAGAGCGGAAGATCGGGGGTTCGATCCCCGGCCGTGTCATACCAACAGACGTTAAAAGATGGTACATGTTGTTACCCTGTCTGGCGCTCGGCATTAAAGGGCTAAAACAAAGACTGGTCAGCTTGGAGTCAGTATACTGTGTCTGGGTGGGGTATTCATGTTAAACTGCGGCATAGTATCCTTGTGAGCTTGCACTATAAATTGGCATCAGTCCGGACTAGTACAAGCAGCCACACAAACACACAAACACATATGTGCATGGACGTCGCTATGTAAGTGCAATAATCTTTGACGAGACGTTAACCCCATTTCACCTCACCTCACCTCACCTCACCTCACCTCACCTCAAGATGATGTCTGCCTTACTGAAGTTTGTATTTACTGTTACTTTACTACACATTGAAATAGTCATGTCGGAGTTACTACACTGTAAGGATTTGTGTTAATTATTAATAGCAACAGGACATTTTCTGTCAACATTTGTCATCATATATTGTTGACTAATACCTGCATGGTCTTCTATCCCCAAAAACATTTTCCGATGTAAATGTAACAGTATTTCATGATTATTATCATTTGCACACACTGGGCTTTGTCTGTGAATTTCCTGTACTAAATTTGTGGCCTCTTCTTTCCTTAGTGGTAAGATGTTGTTATCCTTAAGTCATTGATGTCATCCTATGAAATGTGAGTTGTGTAGATTTCAAGTAAAACCTTTGACTTGCCAACTGTGTTGTGTGTACTGAAATCCGATGAAATGTGAGTCGTGTTGTGTGTGTAGTTGTCGGAGATGACGGCCGACTTCATGGAGGAGAACACGACCTCCCACAATGCCACTGAGCTGCTGGAGGCGGAGACTGCTGACAGGATGAGGCTGGAGAAGGATCTCAAGGATGTGCAGGTGAGCCCAAGGCAAACCGCCATGTGTAGAGCAGGGCTTGGGAGTGAGTGTAAGGTTTGAGTGAGTGCAATGTTTGAGTGAGTGTAATGTTTGAGTGAGTGGAAGGTTTAAGTGAGTGCAAGGTTTGAGTGAGTGCAATGTTTGAGTGAGCGTAAGGTTTGAGTGAGTGTAATGTTTGAGTGAGTGTAAGGTTTGAGTGAGTGTAATGTTTGAGTGAGTGTAAGGTTTGAGTGAGTGTAAGGTTTGACTGAGTGTAAGGTTTGAGTGAGTGCAATGTTTGAGTGAGTGTAAGGTTTGAGTGAGTGTAAGGTTTGAGTGTGTGTAAGGTTTGAGTGAGTGCAATGTTTGAGTGAGCGTAAGGTTTGAGTGAGTGTAATGTTTGAGTGAGTGTAAGGTTTGAGTGAGTGTAATGTTTGAGTGAGTGTAAGGTTTGAGTGAGTGCAATGTTTGAGTGAGCGCAAGGTTTGAGTGAGTGTAAGGTTTGAGTGAGTGTAATGTTTGAGTGAGTGTAAGGTTTGAGTGAGTGTAAGGTTTGAGTGAGTGTAAGGTTTGAGTGAATGAGTAAGGTTTGAGTGAGTGTAATGTTTGAGTGAGTAATGTTTGAGTGAGTGTAAGGTTTGAGTGAATGAGTAAGGTTTGAGTGAGTGTAAGGTTTAAGTGAGTGTAAGGTTTGAGTGAGTGTAAGGTTTGAGTGAGTGCAAGGTATGAGTGAGTGTAAGGTTTGAGTGAGTGTAAGGTTTGAGTGAATGAGTAAGGTTTGAGTGAGTGTAAGGTTTGAGTGAGTGTAAGGTTTAAGTGAGTGTAAGGTTTGAGTGAGTGTAAGGTTTGAGTGAATGAGTAAGGTTTGAGTGAGTGTAAGGTTTGAGTGAGTGTAAGGTTTGAGTGAGTGTAAGGTTTAAGTGAGTGTAAGGTTTGAGTGAGTGTAAGGTTTGAGTGAGTGTAAGGTTTAAGTGAGTGTAAGGTTTGAGTGAGTGTAAGGTTTGAGTGAGTGTAAGGTTTGAGTGAGTGTAAGGTTTGAGTGAATGAGTGTTTAATTCATTGTTGTTTTAAGGCAAGTCCTTAGGACGAGTATAACCTTATTTTCCTGGCCCTTGGAGTTCTAGCTAGTCCTGCTGTCCTAACTGTTTATTGTCTTAAATTTTATTCAGTTCCAAGTTGTAGCAGAGTTGAAGTATTCAGAACTGGTTCAGAATTATAACCCTCAACAGCTATTAGTCAATGAGGACGACCATCATTTGATAGCTTGTCCTCAGTACATTTAAGTAGGCTCGGGATAGCAGACTAGCATGAATTTTGAAGTCTGTCAATGGATCTATTATACAGTCAGATTTGTGCTTTGCAATTCCACAGTCCAAGTATAACGCGATCAAAAGACAGAATGAGAGACTTGAGCAGGAGGTGATGCAGTCAAGGATCTGGCAGGCACAGACACTCGAGGGGGAGCTGGATGACGATGCAGATGGTGAGAGGTTTCTCCCTTGTTTGTTTGTTTGTTTGTTTGTTGTTTAACGCCTCACTCAGCAATATTCTAGCTATATCACGGTGGTCTGTAAATAATCCAGTCTGGACCAGACAATCCACATTGATTTACACAATTGGGATGTGATGACATGCATCAACCAAGTCAACGAGCCTGACCACCAGATCCTGTTTGTCGCCTCTTATGACAAGCATGGGTTGCCGAAGACCAATGTGAGTGTGTCACGTGGATGTCTTTCTAGTGATGTGATGCAAGGATACAGTGTCGAAAGAGGTCATCAGCATCTGTCATATATGGGAGCGGTTGGGTAGCCTAGTGGATAAAGCGTTTGCGCGTTCAGTGCATGTTCTCATGAAGTGTAATTTGCACAGAAAATTAGTGGTTTACAAGAGTTTGGTCACCTAGTCATAGCCGACCACCTGTTTACAATGACTAGGTGATAAAGGGAGGGCATCGGTTTGGCAGCAGTTCACGACTACTTGTACAGAGTTGTGTCCCTTATCCGCCCAAAGCTATGAGGGTCATGGAGAAGTGTGTGCATTAATGTTACAAAATATAGGGTTTGAATATCTGCACCATTCCATTGTGTGAAGAAGACTAACACTCAGTCTTTGAAAATATATAATTTTGACACAAACAAACAACACCATTGACATTGAAAAGGAGCCACAGGGAGATGGGAGTTGCCCTGTGAAAAATCTAGACTTGCTTCATTTAGTCAATTGCATTACATAAGAACTGGAACTACCTGTGAAGGTGCTGTACGTTCCTACAACTGCTGATAAGGTGTTAAACCCAACTTACTCTCTTCTACAACTGCTGACAAGGAGGTGTTAAACCAACTCACTCACTCTCACTCACTCTCACTCACTCACTCACTCACTCACTCACTCACTCACTCACTCACTCACTCACTCACTCACTCACTCACTCACTCATTCACTCACTCACTCTGCTACATCTGGTGTTCAGATTCCATCTACAAGGAACGTTATGAGCGGCTGTCCAAGGAGCTGGCAATGACCAAGAAGAGGCTGCATCAGCAACATGAGGAGGAGATGGAGCAGGAGCTGCAGTCCCGGCGACTCCTCGAGAAGAGGGTAGGTCCCTGTCAGTGTTAGAAATTGGCACTAGTCCTATAGTCCTTGTCAATCTGTCCAATAATTAAGGTTTCATAAGGACTAGTAGAAATTTGCCAATGTTTTCTATATGTTATCATTGTAAGCACTAGTGGACTATAACTGTTAGTTTCTACCCCTGCCTGATTGTTGACTTGGGACATTGCGTTTGTTGAGAACTCACTCCATCTCAGGACGCAACTTTAAAGCCCTTTTCACCTCACCTCACCTTCATGCTAAGACTTTGCCATTGCTTTGTGTGTTGATGTAGTTGCACGATGCAGTAGAGGAGGCGGAGGAACAGCGCCGTCTGGTGCAGCTGACCAAGAAGAAGGTGCAGCGCATCACGCAGGAGATGCAGGACACCAAGCTGCACCTGGAGGAGCAGATGACGCGCAACAACGAGCTGGAGCGGAAACAGCGCAGGTACGCAATCACTGACTCAAACACTAACTCAAACACTGACTCAAACACTGACTCAAACACTGGAAATGCTATACAAACAATTCACAGTGAGTTGAATTTTACGCCGCGTTTCGAAACATTCAAGCAGTATTCACAGCAGGGGACTTCACACATTGTACCCATGTTGGAAATTGAATCCGTGTCTATGGTTGACAAGCAAACGCTTTAACCACTAGGCTACCCCACCGCTCCAAAACAATTTAGAAGAAATAATATGGATTTATAACAGAATGATAAATTTGTATTTAACAAAAGGATAGCTGATGAGCATTAAAACATTCTACCAGGAACCCATTTTGGCTCTCTCTGCCATACAAAGAAGCAAAGAAGTTTTTTATGATTTAACTTGATGTTTTTCCATAATTATAATAAATCCTTAAAAATGAGATACAGTGAAGCTGTGTTAATTTCACTGAATGTTTTCTATGTAGGACTTTGCATTAGTTGACTATATGCTAGGTAGTTATGTGTATCTGCCATTGTAGGTTTGACACGGAGTTGAACATGGCCCAGGAGGACGTGAGAGACGAACACACGCTGCGAGAGAAGCTTCAGAAGGAGAGAGACAGTCTGATGTCCGAGAAATACACTCTGGAACAAGATGTGCAGGTGAGGTGTCACGACATCCTTCATACCCCTGTGGGGATTCCGGATTAGAATTGGTCTAAAGCACCCTATGCTGGTCGTAGGAAGCGACGGGACAAGGGTGGCCCAGTTGTCCAAGGCAATACGATTCGCAGAGTTGCACACCAGAAACCTATGATTGTGGGTTCGAATCATGGTTCGCCCCGATTATGTTTCTAGGTTTGTCAGCACCATACCCATGCTCGTGGGTTTCACCGAAGTGTTAAACGTCTGAGACCTGCATCACTTCAGGCTTTCCTCCCACATTAAGCTGACACGCCGTGATATAACTGGAATAAAGTTAAAAGCGGCGTAAAACCCAACTCACCCACTCACTCAGTCGTAGGAAGCCCATTCGTCAAAGACGCTGCAATTTGGTGCATAGAGTTGGGCATGCCAGAAACCTATGATACATTTCCTTTTTATCAGATTTTTTTATGAAAGGCAGGCGACAACATTTTTTTCATGAAACTGCTATCATGCAAAGTATGTTAACTAATTGTCTGTTTTACTTCTCAAAATTTATGTTAAACAAGAAAATACATTAACCTGACCTTATGATATTTTATATAATCTATGGAAGCTTAATGAACTATCATGGGCATTATGCACAATTCCTGAATGTTGCATGTCTTAGTCTTGTGTACAGTTTGTAATTGAGACAATCTGGTTATCTGTACTGGACATCATGTCATCAGATTCCCTCTATACTGCCCTCTCATGTCACAGAGCTTTGTAAAACTAGCAGGACAGTCAGTCAGGCTCGGTTGACGATGCATTCAACCATGAACAAGACAATAAAGTCTTACTCCGATTTTGTCCCCTAGCTCTAATAATGATAACAATAAGGCCATTTATGTTGCACTATATTTCCACATCACACAGGGATATGCTCAAAACAATACTTTATTATTACCCTGGTCAATCGATTTTCATTCTCAGCTCCCTGGGGAGTATACAACCCAAGCTGCTTGTGAGGCGCTAGGTTTAACAGTCACTTTGCCATCTTATCCTACCGGGTACCCATTCGCATAGCTGCCTGGGTGAACAGTCATATATTGAACATACTCTCGTGCCAAAGGAGACACCACATGTGCTACATGTGCTTTAGTGTGGGAGGCCGAAGCCCTAGGAACTCTCAGGAGTAATGCTGTCGAACACACTCACCAATTCCATTACGAATATGATCTGGGGTAGAATAGGTCTTCAGCGACCCATGCTTGCTGTAATAGGCTACTATGCTTGTTGTAAGAGGCGACCAACGGGATCGGGTGGTCAGGCTCGCTGAATTGGTTGATGCATGTATCGTATCCCAATAGCATAGATTGATGCTCATGATGTCAATCACTGGATTGTCTGGTCCCTACACGATCATTTAGAGACTGGAATATTGCTAAGTGGGGTGTTAAACAACAAACAAAACAAACAAACAATTACTAATATATGATAATAATGATAATGATGATAATGATGTACATGATATCAGCAAATTATCAAGTAAGAAATGTCCCCCCTGGAAGGATACCTATTGCATCTGGCTGAAGTTGATTTTCTCCTGCAAACTGCTATCGTAACAAATGTTATATTTTGGATACCACTTTCTTTGTAAAGTACAGATTCTCGTGCTTTTTTGGGGGGTGGGGGTTTGAGTCCAAAAAAAAGTCCGAGAATCTGTACTTTACAAAGAAAGTGGTATCCAAAATATAACATTCATTACATTTGACCACTTTCTAAATGGCATTGTGTGTTCAAAAATGCTATCGGTTGTGTAACTTCAAGTTTGACATCAAGTGAAATCAGTACTGCTATGGTGTCAAGCTCAAGGATGAACCTGATCCTGGTTCAGTGGTCTGTGTGGTTCCCCCTGCAGTGTAGCTCCTTGTCTTAGTGTAATGTAGGAGCAGGGCTTGACACCTGGCCCACTGTCACAGCTGGATGTGTTGTGACATGCACTGAAATGTACGAGTGTCTATTTCACAGCGCTACAAGATGGACTACGAGTCCCAGGTGGAGAAGAATGAGAGGCTTGAGAAAGAACTTACTGATCTCCTGTCTTCAGGGAAAGACAACAATGAGGTATTGTTTTAGTTAAGAGGAGTTACAAGCAGTTAAAGTTTTAAATAACCCAACTGGTGTACTCATGTCAAGAAATTACTTTTTTGGCATGGCTTTGGCATTGTGTGTTATCACAAGAAGTTAGTGATCATAAGGTTTTTTGAAGATTGTTCATCACAAGATTGGCATCCTTTAGTTACCGATAAAACAGTTCCTCAATTCTCTGCCTCTTTAAGTACCTTTTAGAATGTGAGTCTTACTTAACTCAAATAAGTGTCCATTACAGATAAAAGAGTTCTATTTCTCAGCAGGTTGAACTCGCTAGGCAATTAAGGGTGTGTAGTATTACTGGTACACCGGTATATTGTTGTTCTAATCCTCAGCAATACGTATTGCGTTATGTTTGTAAATGTAGCAATATATTGGGGCAATTATTAATAAGTACATCTTGAAGCTTAAAGTTTCAATGTAAGAAGTAATGAGATGTTTGGGTCTGAAATTTATGAAATTTATGAAATAGTTGAATATTTTCATCTTATATCTTTTGAAAATGGAATATGTTGTTACAGAAATTAATGTTCAAAATGAATTATTGTAATCTTCCAGTACAATTGTAACAGTCTGAACAAATAAAGGAAAGAAAATTCAGATAGCTTAATGAACCTTTTGCTGTGTTAAATCCAGTAGTGATGTTATAACACGGGCCTCTATGTTGAATGTTGCATGAGTGGAATTTGACATTAATGTTGAAATTTGGTGACCAAAGAAGCTATATGTGCAGTCAGTGCTTCTTGGATGCAAACCGCCTTCATGGTCTAGTGATGGAGCATCAGCCCGGGGAGTGGAAGGTCCGGGGTTTGATCCCCGGCCGCATCATACCTAATGATGTAAAACTATGGTACTTGTTGTTAACTTGCCTGGCACTTGGCATTAAGGAGCTAAAACAAGGACTGGTCGGCTCGGAGTCAGTATACTGTGTCTGAGTGGGGTATTCATGTTAAACTGCAGCATGGTTTCTCAGTGGGCTACTATAAGATTGGCATCGGTCCAGACTAGTACAAGCAGCCACACGCACGTGCATGCACGTCGCTATATAAGTGCAACAAGGTGTGTTGGAGGGGACATGTATATGGACAGTGTCTGTTCTCCTGCAGGTGGTGGTGCTGAAGCGGGCCAAGCACACGTTGGAGTCCAAGCTGCGGGAACAGGAGGAGGAGCTGGACGACCAGGCCGGGCAGATACAGCAACTGGAGCAGGTGGGTGCAGGGATCTGGGGTAGGGGGTTTCATGGCAGGTAGGGATAGAAACGGAGGAAGGGGTACGGTAGAGGATGACCAAGCTGGGTTGATACAGCAGCTGGACCAGGTTGAGGCTTTGGGCTGGGGAAAGGGGGAGCTGGCATGGCAGGTGGATGCTTGAACCAAGGTAGCTAAGTGCTGGGGTAGGGGATTTCAGTCAGGGTCTGGTAGGGAGGAGGAGGAGCTGGATGATCAGGCCAGGCAGATACAGCAACTGGCAGGGCTGGTAGGGATAGAAATCGAGGAATGGGTGCGGTAGAGGATAACCAAAGCTGGGCAGATGAAGTAGGTGGATGTTGGGGCCTGGGATAAGGGGTTTCAGCCAGGCTCTGGTAGAGATGGGAGCAAGAGTCAGGTAGAGGATGACCAAGCTGGGTTGATACAGCACCTGGACCAGATTGAGGCTAACGGCTAAGGAAGGGGGAGCTGGCATGGCAGGTGGATGCTAGGTAGCCTAGTGCTGGGGTAGGGGGTTTCAGCCAGGCTCTGGTAGGGAAACGAGAGGAAGAAAAGAGAAGGGGTAGGATAGAGGATGACCAAGTTCGACAGGGGCAATAGCTGGAGCCGGTTGACGCTGAGGGCCAGAGTTTCAGCCAGCATCAGATAGGGCAGGTGGAGATAGATATAGAACTGTAATGAAACATTCAGGATCCAGGTTAGCACTAACCTGGGGCTAAGATTTTATCTGAAGAAGTAGGTCAGCTCTCCCTTCTGTTGACAGATACATGAATTGTGTTCCTCCATGTTTCTAGGGTAAACTACGTCTGGAGATGAACCTGGAGCGCAGTCGTCAGCAGCACCTGAAGGATCTGGAGGAGAAGGATGAGGAGATGGAGGAGATGAGGTTCAAGACCCAGAAGAAGGTAAGGAGGAGACGGGATTGTAGAGGGAGTCAGTGACAGAGCTACAGTTCATGGCTAGTGAGTTTTGGTGACTAAGGTATAATGCTTTTTTCATTAGAAGTGCGTTTTGTATGAGCATTTATCAGGGGTTGGTCTCGTGAATTAACTTTGCTATACTCTGTAGTCAGAAATATTCCAATTAATCATGACAGCCTATAAAGGACAAAGTTTGGGCCAGACAAACCTGTGATTCGCGACAACAGTAATGTTCACGGTGATCCACAGTTCCACATTGTCACTTGAAGTTCGCTGTAGACTCGGGATAACCTTCTGCTGTACGTTCCCTGTAACCAATGGCGTATCTGCTTTATGTTTACTGTAACCAACGTTGTGTCTCCCTGTGTGCTCCCTGTAACCAACGTTGTGTTGTTACAGTTGAGGCAGATGGAGTCCCAGGTGGAGGAAGAGTACGAGGAGAAGCGGCGAATTATGGAGGAGAAGAACAACCTGGAGAGGCAGATGGAGAATATGGGAGCACATGCCCCAGCCAGGGATAAGGGTATGTAGAAGTCTGAGGAATGTGAAAAAGTAGCATTGGGACCAGGGGTCCGGAAAATTTAAAATCCCAATCGGACATTTGCATTTAGGCCACGCCCCCTTCAAATAGCGTATTTTAGTACGACTTTTCACACACATTACAAGTTTACGTATTCATAATATGATGAATTATGAATTGTTTCAATTTAAATTGTTTTATTCACCGGACAATTAATAACAAATAATATCATTTTAGATTTACATGGAAAACATACGTTTGTTTCTGTTATAATAACGATCTATTAACGTAGTGAACGGTCTAATTAATATTCATGAGTTATATTCATGAGTCTGCTCAAGTGTACGCGTTGTAACATTTGGATCGAGACTATTATCCCATATTTGGTTATCACGTGACCTCACGGGAAAAGTTTTTTTTTAAACTAAAGATTTTTTTAAAAACAAGACAGATAATTTAATCACAAATACTAAAATATCGTTGATAGCAATAGTTATTTGAATACTTTTTTCATCTGTACTTAATTATTGACCATAAAAAAATTGGATATCGATCGTCCGAGAAAGCAAAATGGCGGTCAATCAAGATTCAATATACGACTAGCTACTGAAAAAAATAAAATCTGCAAATCCTCATTGTATGTCAACCAAGTGAAAGTCGTTAGCCACGACTTACAAAATGATCGTCCAGACTTTGAGGGTTTGGCAGATCCGCTCGACTGATCTGCATCGGTCGACTGGCTGTCGTCACGCTTTCGCTTCTTGTCTGAGGTTACGTATCGTAGCATTGTGAGGATAATGAGGTACATCGATGATGCAAGGTATTAATGTACAGTTGTAAACACCTTTCACTCAAATTAACAAGATGTTCTCAGTAATGAATCCTGGATTAATCAGTGTCAACTCAGTTTATTGCCTATTACAGTGATTGACCGATTGGACTATCATGTAGGTACGATGTATTTACAGCAATCAAAACAAACAAAGCTTATCAGTGTAGTTAATCTTCATTGTGTTGCAACTGCAGACAGAAACTGCTCAGTCCTAACTGTTGATCATGTCCGGTCAAAATTTAAGAATGTCCGGACAATACTTTTTAAAATGTCCGGTAAGCAATATTTTAAAACGGACATTTGAGATTCCCAATCGGACATGTCTGGCGCATATGACGGTTTCCGGACCCCTGATTGGGACATTAGTTTAAGATATGGTCGAGATATAAAAAAGTATCATTTGTTGAGTCTTACCTTACCTCGATGGTATATTACCATTTAAACAGGCACACAGCCAGTAGACTGTGTCTGAGTGGGGTATCCATGTTAAACTGCGGCATGGTACTTCAGTGGGCTAGCACTATAAAACAGGCAATTAAGCAGCCACACACACACACATGTACATGCAGGTCACTATAGAAGTACAATAATCTTGAACGCTGCATTAAACACCTCACGTATAATACTTCTTATCATACCTCCATGTCAGAATGATGAGATCTGATTGGTCCATGTGATCTCGATAAAATACTATGTCTCCAGCCTAGGAGGGAAATAAACTTCTCACAAGGTGAATAAATCTCTCATACCCCGCCACAACAAGTCAGGCTGCACGTGGATTTCTTAGAGTCGATGAAAGTCATGTGACAGCACAAGTTAACCTCAGCTTAATCGAACGGTTGTTTTTCTTCAATTTTGAATTTGTTTTACTTCTTTTACAATGTCATATTAGACCCGTGAAGATCTGTGGTAGAAAAGATCTTCAGCAGGCCATCTTTGCAATAAAATGTGACTATGCTTGTCATAAGAGGCGACTAACAGGATCGGGTGGTCAGGTTCGCTGACTTGGTTGATGCATGTCAAGATGTAAGATAAATTCTTTGTCGCATAAAACCCCATGTATCCCTCGTGATCCTGCTACAATTTGTAGGAGGTGATTTGCTGGCAGACATGGCACATTGACGTATTGAGGAACATGATTTGTACAACTGTTTCAGACGTATTGAGGAAACTTGATTTGTACAACTGTTTCAGATGTATTGAGGAAACATGATTTGTACAACTGCTTCAGATGTATTGAGGAAACATGATTTGTACAGCTGTTTCAGACGTATTGACGAAACATGATTTATACAACTGTTTCAGACGTATTGAGGAAACATGATTTATACAACTGTTTTAGACGTATTGAGGAAACATGATTTGTACAGCTGTTTCAGACGTATTGCGGAAACATGATTTATATAACTGTTTCAGACGTATTGAGGAAACATGATTTATACAACTGTTTCAGACGTATTGAGGAAACATGATTCATACAACTGTTTCAGATGTATTGAGGAACATGATTTATACAACTGTTTCAGATGTATTCAGGAAACATGATTCATGCAACTGTTTCAGATGTATTGAGGAACATGATTTATACAACTGTTTCAGACACTGAGAAGAGGCTCAGAAAGACTTTGAAGAAGACGAAGGCTTTGTTGAAGGATGCTGGCAACACACTTCAGAAACAGAAGACCGTAGAGGGAGCCAAGGTGCAGATACACCAGCTCAAGAACCAGGTGAGGAGACCTGGTGACACCTTTTACTACAGCAGTGTCTTCTGCAAATAACCAGTGTCTCAGATCAGGAGGTCTGGGTCATATTTGAAAGAAAAACCTGTGAGCTTCATTGGGGGGCCCTTGGAATCAGTATCACAGAACAACTGTCATCTACAAAGAACAAGAGTGTTCCAGATTAGTAGGTCTGGGTCATTGATGTTTGAAAAAAACACAGTGAGATTCATTGTGGGTGCCTTGGCATCAGTACCATTGAGGACCATACTCTTTGGCAGTAACTAAGATGCAACAAAATTTCAGTTGTTTTAAGACCCGTGAAATTTCGGGGTAGAATAGGTCTTCAGCAACCCATGCTTGCCGTAAAAGGCGACTAACGGGATCAGGTGGTCAGGCTCGCTCACTTGGTTGATGCATGTCATCGATCACAATTGCATGGATCGATGCTCATGATATTAATCACTGGATTGTCTGGTCCAGCCTCGATTATTTACAGACCGCCGTCATATAGCTGGAACATTGCTGAGTCCGGCGTTAAACAACAAACCAACCAAATCAGTTGTTTTAAACCTTGGAGAATATTGATCTGTCTTGAAGTCCAGTCTGAACAGGTAAAGTGAAATTGACACTTCAATGACCTGGTAACCTATAGTTTGGTGACAATAGCATTGCTGACGACTGCCATGGGAACCACTGGCAATGACTTTCCATTTCTGCTTTGAGCCAGGAGTCCGACATCTTCCGTTGTGAAATAGGGACTGCTGTTATCATCTGTTTCTGTATTTCAGCTGGATGATGCCTTGTTCTCCTCTCAGGCAGCGGTGAAGGGCAAGAAACGCATGGAGCTGGAGATACAGGACCTTCAGCAGCAGATAGAGGACTTCTCCCGCAGCAAACAGGAGGTAATGATGATGATGATGACGATGATGATGATGATGACAGTATTATTCATGATGATGATGACAGTATTATTCATGATGATGATGATAGTATTATTCATGATGATGATGATAGTATTATTCATGATAGTGATCATGATGATGGTAGTGGTGGTGGTGGTGGTGGTGGTGATGACAACGACGATGATAATATTTATAATGGTGGTGGTGGTGATGATGATGATGATGATGATGATGATGATAATAATTTCTTCAAATCCATTTCACTGACTTACTGCATATGTGTATATGGTGTTCTTCAGGCTGAGGACCGCTGTATGTCGCTTTTGAGGGAGAAATCTGACCTCCAGAACAAGCTGGAGGAGAACGAGGAGGACCTGACCGAGATCATGAAGAAGTACAAGGCTGCTGTACAACAGGTAATACACTCTGTCAATCATACTGTGTTATGAGGGGGCACGGATGGCCCAGTCGTCTAAAGCGCCACGATTCGCTGTGCAGAGTTGCGTCCCTTGCGCACGCCAGAAACCTATGATTGTGGGTTCGAATCCCGGTTCGCCCCAATTATGTTTCTAGGTTTGTCAGGACCATACCCGTGCTCGTGGGTTTCACCGAAGTAGTAACGTCTGAGACCTGCATTACTTTCGGGCTTTCCTCCCACATTAAGCTGACACGTCGTGATATAACTGGAATACTGTTAAAAGCGATGTTAAACCCAACTCGCTCACTCACTCACTGTTATGAGGGGCTCTGAGGGGTCCACTCGTCTAAGGCTTCTCAATTCCCTGTCAGAGTTGTCTCCCTTAGGCATGCCAAAATACTGTGATTGTGATTTCCATTCCAATTTTTGCCCCTATGGTGATTCATGGTTTGTCAGCACCTTACTAAAAACTGTAGGTTTCACCGAAGTTGTAAATGTCTAAGTGTTTCACGTAGCAATCTTATCTCTATGACTGTCATAGGTTTTTGTTTAACTATGAGAGTTGTGATAATCGTAGTGCTACAATCTCTTTGTGAAATGGGTTCCAGCATCACTTTTGAAATTCCTCCGACATTATTCTGACATGTGTGACAAAACTGAAATACTATTCAAAGCAGCATTGAGCATAACTCACTCACTCACTCACTCACTCACTCACTCACTCACTCACAGTTGCCTGTGTGTATGGGCACAGGGAGGGGATACTAGGGCTGGGATGGGTAACTCGGGTACTCGGGTCGGGGTACCCGGTGCTTATCGTATGTTGTGTATATATTTTTAGCTCACCTGACTTTATGTCATGGTATACACATCAGTACATGTTAGGACCCGTGAAGATCCGGGTTAGAACAGGTCTTCAGCAACCCGTGCTTGCTGTAAAAGGGGACTATGCTTGTCGTGAAAGGCGACTAACAGGATCGGGTGGTCAGGCTCGCTGACGTGGTTGATGCATGTCATCTTATCCCAGTTGCGTGGATCGATGCTCATGATGCCAATCACTGGATTGTCTGGTCCAGACTCGATTATTTACAGACCACCGTCATGTAGCTGGAATAAAGCTGAGTGTGGCATTAAACAACCAAACAAACAGTACATGTTATTAAAAAAAAAAGAGCTCATGTAGTGTTTTTTAAACATGTAGAGTAAAATTCCTAAGAGACAAATTAGAACATCGAAGACCAAAAAATATATAAAAAAACAAAATGTGTAAAACTTTCAGAGACTCTTGAGAGAATATATCCCTTCACACCACAAGAACGGGTACTTTCAGCTTTTCATTTTCATTCTGTTATTTTACTGATGTCAATTTCTCTTTTCAGCAATCTGTTGATCACATAACACTTTCATCACAGCTTCAGCAGATAGAAGAATTATCGACAGAGAGATGTAACCTCCAGCAAGAGGTAAGATCTGAGATTTCATGACATCATACGCAATTACAGATAGAAATCAGCTAGCTATCATCAGGTGCGCGACCTGCAACTCTCTAATAGCACTGCTTTTGTCAAAGGTGACCGGTTGACCTACCCATGATCAAGATAACTGGTAATATATATCATATAGAATCATTCTTTGTCTTTGTGTTGACTGACCACTGACTGACCAGCTGTTTTCCCCTGTAGGTGGAGAATCTCTCATCCAGGGTCATGTCGTATGAGGACACAAGCGTGGACAAGCACTCCGTCACCCGGCTAGAGAACAAGATCCGAGAGCTAGAAGGAAAACTGGATCTGGAACAGACAACTAGGCAGAGAATAGAGGTGAGATTCAGGACTGAGGATCAACACATCTCCAGAGTCTCAGTCTGTGACTAGCCCGAAGCTTGTGTCTCAGTCAAATTTCTTCTGGTATTGTAAGATGAAAAAAATACTCGTCCATAAACTAAATATACTGAAAATAATGCCAAAATACATTGTTTGGCTAGAAGTAAATGATTTTCAATTCATTTACACTGCTCTCAGCAATATTGCTGCTGTATGTCGGCAGTTTTCAGCAATACTGCAGCTGTATGTCGGCAATTCTCAGTAATATTGCTGCTATATGTCCGCAATTCTTAGTAATATTGCTGCTATATGTCAGCAGTTTTCAGCAATATTGCAGCTATATGTTGGCAGTTTTCAGCAATATTGCAGCTATATGTTGGCAGTTTTCAGCAATATTGCAGCTATATGTCGTCAGTTCTCAGCAATATTGCAGCTATATGTCAGCAGTTCTCAGCAATATTGCAGCTATATGTCATCAGTTTTCAGCAATATTGCAGCTATATATCAGCAGTTTTCAGCATTATTGCAACTATATGTCGTCAGTTCTCAGCAATATTGCAGCTATATGTCGTCAGTTTTCAGCAATATTGCAGCTATATGTCGTCAGTTTTCAGCAATATTGCAGCGATATGTCAGCAGTTTTCAGCAATATTGCAGCTATATGTCAGCAGTTTTCAGCAATATTGCAGCTATATGTCGGCATTACAGTATGTCATTATTTGGTTCCTGTAGCCAGCGTGACCGTGCGAGAGTTACCGATGTCTGTTGATGTGCAGGTCCAGGTATCCAGGTTGAAGGAGCAGCTGGAGAAGGAGAAGACGGAGAAAGGAGACATGGGAATGTCGAAAATGCAGATGGAGGAGTCGATGAAGCGTCTCCAGAAACAATTGCGGGATCTCCGAGAAGAGTTGACAGACTCCCAGAAGAAGGAATTCGATGCCACCAATAAGAAACAGGAACTGGTAAGAATTGGTCTACTTGATCACCATAAAGTTTATTTAATACCAGTGTGCGTTGTAAATATGGTACGGGCAGTTATGAAACTTACTGGTCAAGGGGAGATAATTTTGGCATCTGCTGTCAATGGCTGCGTAAGGGCACTTCTCTAAATAATAATCCAATATATGACGTCATCAAGTTGGGAATCTCCAGATACGATGTCATGATATCGTGAAATAAACCACACTTCATTCTTTAATAGTTTTTTAATTTGAAGTTTACACGATATACGGCTTTTCCTTTAGACGAGAGGTCGGTAACATGACTGCGAAATTGACGTTCATAAGTGTATGAACAACACAATTTGACGTTCATACTTTTTTCACGAGACCGTGTTCTTGAAATGACGTAAACACTGACGGACTACTTCCACATTCCTGGGGAATGCTCCGACATTCACACAGTTTGGCCCTCACTCTATGAAGGTTCATACTCCAATGAACTCACACTAAGTGAAGGTCAATTCTTTAATGTTCTTTGCGATTTATCGCAAAGCTATCTTATATATTGTAATACACAGCCTGAGTTGCTGCCCATTCAATGTTTGTCTTCATGTCCTCCATGTTGTGTTACAGGACAACAGAGTGGAGGAACTGGAGGTTGACGCCATACAGAACCAGTCTGACCTGAAGCTGGCCTTCAAGAGGATCAATGACCTGCAGGCTGCCCTGGAGGAGGACCTGGACAGCGATGACAGTCTCCTGTCGGACAGGTCGGTACCACTTCCTGCTGCACTGACACACAATACTTGATGCACTTTGTGTTGAACATACTACATTAATTTCCTGCTTCGGTTATGACACAGGTTGGACCGCCTCTGTGGCCTAGTGGTAGAGCGTCCACCCGGAGAGCAGACAGTCGGGGGTTCGATCCCTGGCTGAGTCATACCAAAAGATGTTAAAATATTGTACTTGTTATTACCCTGCCTGGCGCTTGGCATTAAGGAGCTAAAACAAGGACTGGTCGGCTCAGAGTCAGTATACTGTGTCTGAGTGGGGTATTCATGTTAAACTGCGGCATGATATCTCAGTGGGCTAGCACTATAAGATCGGCATGTCTGGACTAGTACAAGCAGCCACACACACACGTGCATGCACATCGCTATGTAAGTGTAATACAAGGCTAAAACAGGGACTGGTCGGCTCGGAGTCTGTATACTATGTCTGAGTGGGGTATTCATGTTAAACTGCAGCATGGTTTCTCAGTGGGCTAGCACTATAAAATCGGCATTAGTCTGGACTAGTACAAACAACCACACACACCACATTCCACAAAGCAATCGTAACTCACATACCTAAACATACACTTACCATAGCACTATGATCGCTTTGTGGAATGTGGTCCAGGTACTTTCTTGTCCCAAAAGGTTAATATGACAACTTGATGCAGTATTTGTTTTCCTCGTTTCAGTGATGACCTTGATGATCTGTCGGATGAGGACATTGACAGCTTCTTGGCCAGTCATAATCAGGCTCCACTGGGACAGCGGGGGAGCCGGTCAACATCAGTGACCAGTGGCTCCCACGAAGATGCACTTCACAGTCCTAGGTTCAATGATATAGATTGTAGTAAGTCACTTGGTACAATTTCATCTCTGGGATAATGGGGTCACGGGTGGTCCAGCTGGGCCCACTTGCACAAATGATCTTAGCGCTAAGACTATCGTAAGCCTATGTTAAAGTATGGGAGTTACGATCATCTTAGTGCGAGGACTATCGTAAGCCTATGTTAAGGTATGGGAGTTACAATCATCTTTGCGCTAAGACTATCGTAAGCCTATGTTAAAGTATGTGAGTTACAATCATCTTAGCGCTAAGACAGTCGTAAGCCTATGTTAAAGTATGGGAGTTACGATCATCTTAGTGCGAAGACTATCGTAAGCCTATGTTAAAGTATGTGAGTTACAATCATCTTAGCACTAAGACAGTCGTAAGCCTATGTTAAAGTATGTGAGTTACAATCATCTTAGCACTAAGACAGTCGTAAGCCTAAGTTAAAGTATGGAAGTTACAATCATATTAGCGCTAAGACAGTCGTAAGCCTATGTTAAAGTATGGGAGTTACGATCATCTTAGCACTAAGACAGTCATAAGCCTATGTTTAAGTATGGGGGTTACGATCATCTCAGCGCTAAGACTATCGTAAGCCTATGTTAAAGTATGGGAGTTACGATCATCTTAGCGCTAAGATGGCTTTGTGCAAGTGGGCCCAGCTGTTTGAGGTACTTCATTTAGCTGTTCAGACTTGCGACTTTAGTTTGCCAGAAATCTATGATCGAAGGTTCGAATCCCAGATTCCACCTCATGGTTGTAGGTTGTCAGCACCATAACAGTACAATTGGGTTTCATCACATGGGTAAACATATGAAGCACATCACTTCGGGCTACCTCCAACATCAAGCTGACAAGATGTGACAAACTGAAATACTGTTTGCGGCGTTACTTTAAACTCACTCACTCTTTAGGATAATCTGTCAACACAGAATATGGAGATATGTGCACATGTTTTTGTCATCAATACTAAATATCATTAATATGACAAGTGTTGTAATTCAGTTTGAAGTTTTAACAAAATTGCATAATCAAAGATAATTATTTTTTATGAAAACACATTTGCGAAATATAAGGTATTATCATTTGTTAAAGAATAAACTAGTCTGCTGTGGACTTTCAATTAATTCAGCTATTTCAATTTTCAGCATAGTAATACTTTCAATAGTGGAAGACGTGTGCTTTACGACATGGTAATCTACACATTCAGTAATATATGTATCAGCAAATACGTCATCTAACACCTCAGCTTCCCTATCTGTTAGACTTTCCTTGCTTCTTTAAAGAAGGGAATGTGATTATCTGTTTCAATAACAACACTATTTTCAAATGGGAAAACTTAAATTCTAAATTTACAACAAAAAAAGCAATTTCTGCTTGCATTACCAAATATTTGGTTTGGTAATATTCTAATGCTTACACATTGCTTGGAATACATCACTTTGTATTTTCTGACAAAAGAACTAATAATCTTGTTACACATTTCTATTTAATGTCATTTGTGATTGATCTGTAATATCCCAAGTGTATGTGTGCAATCTGTGCCTAAAACATTCGAGTGTACAAGACACATTTTCAGGAGAGTTTAGTGGGGTGAAACAATACAGTTTTCATGTGATGATACGATGATACGATACGATACATGTTTTTTTTCTGTATCGATACAAGATGATACACTTGCTGAAATAAATGACTTATTACTCGTTTAATGAACCCTGGCGTTTTTGTCAGTCAAATATCGCAAAGTGTGTTGTAATAAGGGTTTCAAGTTCGCTACTAAAAATTGCCACTATGAACATGTCTACAGCTGAAATATGTTTTGTCCGGACGTTTCCAGGGGCGGTCGGGTAGCCTAGTGGTTAAATCGTTCGCTTGTCATGCTGAAGAACCGGGTTCGATTCCCGACATGGGAAACAATGTGTGAAGCCCATTTCTGGTGTCGCCCGCCGTGATATTGCTGGAATATTGCTAAAAGCGGCGTAAAACCATACTCACTCACTCATTCACCGGAAGCTTCCATGCTAGTAACGTAAACATGTGTATCGTGATATTGACCCATGTATCGTGATACATCATGTATTGTTTCACCCCTAGCGTTTAGTGCAATCATACAGACTATTATTGGCAGAGATGGAATAGAATTTTACTAGACTAGAGTGGCAAAAGATGCAGACTGTGTATATATCTTATGGTAACAAATATCACTATTAACACTGCCTCTGTTGAAGCCCCTGTTTAATCCCTTTATCTTTGCTCAAATGTATCGGTGTAATCACCCAAACTGTAAGATTCATGTCTAACTCTCACATAAAGGCTCCTTGTATCACTGGGTTAATTAGATGCCTTCTGCTTTGTGTCGTTCTAGCTGAGTTTGCAATCCATGTCAAGTTTACAGACATTTAGTCTGTTAGATGATGACTCAGCAGTCTGTGACAAATACTTGGGGTTTGCTTTTCATTCTGTAGAGACCCGTGAAGATCCGGGGTAGAATAGGTCTTCAGCAACCCATGCTTGTCGTAATAGGCGACTATCCTTGTCATAAGAGGCGACTAACGGGATCGGGTGGTCAGGCTCGCTGACTTGGTTGATGCATGTCATCGTATCCCAATTGCATGGATCGATGCTCATGATATCAATCACTGGATTGTCTGGTCCAGACTCGATTATTTACAGATCGCCGTCATATAGCTGGAATATTGCTGTGTGAGGTGTTAAACAACAAACAAACAAACAAACAAACAAACAAACAAACAAACATAGCAATACTTACACTAATGTAAAGTTTAACCTCTGTAAATAATGTTTTGTTTCTGCAACATGTACTATGAAATAGACATGACACTGTTGTTGTCAATTTCAGGTGAAGCATAGCACTAGATGTGAGGCTTGTGAGCCTGGTACAACTCTTCAGGATACCTTTGGGCCAAGTGCAACAGATTGTGTGTGTGTCGTCATATCTTGCAGTACGGAGCTATCCACATCGGCCGTCCGCTATACGTGTCAGCATTGTGTCGTACATTTCGATGTCATATTTCATCGCTGATGTAGTTACTTCATCAACCCCCTGTTACTGTTTTCGTTTTCCTCTTGGACAGAACGTTGAGTTGCAGTGAAACCTTCTTCCGTAATGAAAAATCTTGGATACATATCTGAGGAATTTATCTCCTGGGAAAACATGGCGGCAATTGCTGAAATCGAAGGATTGGATTGTGGTTAAATGAGAGGATGAGAGATTCAGTTGAGTCAAAGGATTGAGGATGTGATGGAATTCAAGTGTTGAATGAGGATTTCAACAGATTCCTGATTTCGTAGGATTTAGCTGCACTTCTTTAGGATTCCGGATGTTGCCGATTCTGCTGCAGTTTTGTTGGGTACCTGATTTGAAGGATCCAAATGCAATTCTTTGAGTTCCTGATTTCTGCTGAAAGATACAGGCATGAAAGGATTCAGTGGTTGAAAGGCTTCAGAGAAAGGCGGATGACCCTCTGTTGACATGAAGGATGGTTGATAGAAAGATGCAGAGAAGTCATATTGATGGTTGGTACATTAGGATTCAGTTGCTGTGGAAAAATTGAAGGATTTCACTGCACAAGTAGTGAGGCACTATGGATACTGAGTATTCAGCTGCAGTACAATTGAAGGATTTCACTGTACAATGGATGGATTTCAGTGCTGTACAATTGAAAGGATTTCAGTGCTGTACATTTGAAGGATTTCACTGTACAATTGAAGGATTTCACTGTACAATTGAAGGATTTCAGTGCTGTACATTTGAAGGATTTCAGTGCTGTACAATTGAAGGATTTCACTGTACAATGGAAGGATTTCAGTGCTGTACAATTGATGGAATTTCTCTGTACAATTAAAGGATTTTACTGTACAAGTAGCAAGGCACTGTGAACAACTGAAGGATTTCACTGCACTAGGAGTGAGGCGCTGTGGATACTGAATGATTCAACTTCAGTAATATTGATAGATTCAGCTGTGCTGTGGATGATGATAGATTAAAAAATTCCAAGGATATATGGTGACGACTCACATGTAGATATTACAAGGCTTACATAGTGGTCTAGAGTTCAAGTGCTATGTCATTCAAGAGTGCAACCATGGTTCCATGTGATGCAGATAAAGTGGTTGTCTGTCAACACACAGGTACCAATCCAAATTCTAGCAGCACTGGGAAGTAGGCAGTGACACCATACATGAACCTCTAGCACTGGAGTGGCGGTCGGGTAGCCTAGTGGTTAAAGCGTTTGCTCGTCACGCCGAAGACCCGGGTTCGAATCCCGACATGGGTACAATGTGTGAAGCCCATTTCTGGTGTCTCCCGCTGTGATATTGCTGGAATATTGCTAAAAGCGGCGTAAAACAAAAACTCACTCACACTCTAGCACTTGAGGGCTGCAACTGAATACGTAAATGGATTGCTTTCACGCTGCACTGAACTCAACTCCTATCACTGAAGCAAAGATGCAGGGCTGCTTGTCATCAAAGGATTCCTTATCGAAAAAAACAAAACATGTTTCTTTAAAGATGTATCTTTTTCAAAGCAGAGACACCTTAAATATGTCATGCAAATGACCGCTTGGATTATACAAATAACAGGTCACCTGAAGTAAGCGGGGAAAAGGATTGCCTGACTTCGACAAAACAAAGGATGACAAATGGTCACTGTGAAGATTGGAATTTGTATCCTAGAATGAGATCTTGCATCATAGTGTAGATAACAGAATTTCTTTAGAAATTTATTTGAATAGATTCCATTGCTTAATGTTTTCTGATATGGTAATTTCAGCTTACAGTAAGGGTCAGAATCTTGTCACAGCACATATCTTGCAGGTGAAGATTCTTCTTCTGGTTGTGTCATGTCTGTGTTAGCCTGCACATGGGTTCAATTTCTTTGGTTATAAGTACTGAATATATTATATGAATTCTACAGACTATGCTTGTCGTAAGAGGCGACTAATGGGATTGGGTGGTCAGGCTCGCTGACTTGGTAGATATACGTCATCGATCCCAATTGCATGGATTGATGCTCATGTTGTCAATCACTGGACTGTCTGGTCCAAACGTGATTTATTTACAGACCGCCGTCATATAGCTGGAATATTGCCGAGTGAGGCGTTAAACAACAAACAAACAAACTTTACTCAAAATAACAGCTGTATGTCACATTACTTCTCCAATATTGGCTGGAGACTTACGTTTTTCTCTACAGCCATATAAGTCTGAGTGGTCTAGTTCATATTCTAGCAAGGTCATTTAAACCACACTATACTGGCACCAAGACAAGTCCAGGTGTGTTAGGTTCCACCATGAGATATCTGATGTGGATGTTTTACCTGTAATTTGATAATGTTTGAACACCTGGGCTGAAGCATTCGTTAAAGACAGACAGGTGTGTTTAGAACATTCCTTACGTTATTCAAGAAACAATTGGAATTCATCCAGTAACTCAGCAAATTTGTACGTCTTGTATTCGTATCTTTAAGAATATTTAATGTATCTCACTGATTAATATTCAATTGGATAAATTCCCTGAATTCGAAAGAAGGTTGATAATCGTACTGTAATCAGTAGGGCTGCAATGATTCACTCGCATATTCGGTGAATCGAATGGTATCCCTTCATGAATTCAGTGACTTGGTGTAATAATTTATGACAAAAATCAGACATATTATAAATATGATTATTTTACTAACAGCAGTGTATTGATAAGTGAATTTCGTGTGCCAACTTTATGTACCACAGCACTTAGTTAATGATTTCACTTGATATAATTAACTAGTACTCCCGTTATAATCATCATTATGAAATCAGATTAGTATGTTCGTAACCTCCCTGACATTCATGATACTCTCTCAAATGTAAATTTATTACACTTTAGCTCAAACCTATGATTATCCTGTAGACACAAATCTTATACTGTTCACACAAAGCTCAATTGTTTTTTGGAAAACAAAATTTGAATTGAATATACGTATCAATTTGAAAAATAACATAACTGTGATTATTATGTTTTTAGTTCAATATGAATATAACCGTGGCACATGTACGCTGTTTTTGTGAATCTTTTTCTCAAACTTTGTGACTTTTTCAGCATTCTTAGAGACTCTTTCACACTGTTACCTGTGAAAAAAAACCTTATCGTTTCATGTAACTGTGATTCAGCCCATCTTTCAGTATTACTCATCGTCTTATAGTCAATGCTTACTATTTATGTTGAAGTCTGTGTAACCATGGTAACCAGTTCCTCATATTGTGTTTGCTGTATATGTACTTGATCAGATCTCTTGGGTATAAACAATTATCTGAATGTCGATCAATGGCTGTTTTGGTTGGACTTAGGCCTTAATTTTGTTATTGGTTTACGGGACTGACTGACAAAAAAACCTGAAATTATGAAAAAGAAGTGGACGATAACGTTTTTGGCTGACTGTTTTACAGTTAGATGAGATTAAAAACTTCAAGATTTTGTCAACACTGTTTGTTAGAAATGGTGAATTATGTATAAATATCTTTTATTCTAACAAAAACAAACAATCAATTATCCTTCTGTGTCATTTCACAATCACAGGTATGACGTACAAGTTTGTTTACATTCATTAGTAGCATATTTGGGTTGGATTTTTCCCCCCGACCACCTTCATTTTAAGCCAATTCTTTTGTTAATTAACTAATAAACAATGAAAGGCACTAGGTGTAGGTGACTTCATTGTTTATTGATCACTGTACCATGTTTGCCTGACCAGTTGTTCCAGAAAAGTCCAAAATATTCATATTTGTTTTGCTGGAAGTGTTAAATAATTTTCACTTCAAATATGAAAAGATTTAAAATCTTAATAAACGATATCTTTTTTTTCATTGGTAAAGCAATTTCATGCTTCCTTCTTTGGTTTATTCCCAAGAGATACAATATCATATGATTATCTTACCAGGATCTTGTCATGTATTTTAACATATCCTTTCTGTTACAACCAGTACAATTTTTGTTTTTTCATTATGATCAATTTGACTCATATTTGGACAGAGAGAAATATTATCAATGAATATGCTAAATTATCTTATCAATTTCTAATATTTCGTGGACCAAAAACATGGAGAGTTAGCCGACTTTGTAATTGCCAACGATCCTAATATCGTGTTGTAAAGTATGCTATAGGTATACAGTATTATCCTTGTATCTTGCTGTAACATAAACAATGTTGTTACAGCTCAACCTACATTGGCATTCGTCACCACTCGTCTCTTTCGCCCCATGAAGATCCGGAGTAGAATAGGTCATCACAAACCTATGCTTGCCGTAAAATCGACTATCCTTGTCATAAGAGGTGACTAACGGGATCGGGTGGTCAGGTTCGCTGACTTGGTCGTATATGTCATCTATCCCAGTTGCGTGGATCGATGCTCATGATATCAATCACTGGATTGTCTGGTCCAGACTCGATTATTTACAGACCGCCGTCATATAGCTGGAATACAGCTGGAATGGTTAAAGCGTTCGCTTGTCACGCCGAAGACCTGGGTTCGATTCCCGACATGGGTACAAAGTGTGAAGCCCATTTCTGGTGTCCCCGCCGTGATATTGCTGGAATATTGCTAAAAGCGGCGTAAAACCACACTCACTCACTCACTCGCTAAATATACATATATTGAACATGCTGAAGTGAGAGCTGTTTTACCCATCCATAACAACTGGTTGAAAACAACATCCATGTATGTTAAAATATAAACATAAACTTACGAAACAAAGGCGGACGTGATACATCAAGCTGATTATCTTTTTGGCTCTGCCTACTTGCGTGAAGATAAGATAAGATGGCCAAGAAAGGGCTTAAGTCGCCATGCGTCTACTCTTGGAATGACACGAGTGATCACGAATGCTGCACCTGTTGGGCAGGATATGTTCAGTATAAGCATTCTAGTTAAGCCATACTCGGTCCAAATGTATCCATATCATACTCATGTCTCAGTTTCGTAGATACATTCCAGACCTTTTACGTCCTTTTACGTCCCTCGTCAGTGTACTACTCACTATATTTTTAAACATTTTCTACTTCTTATTTACTTCTTTTTTTTTCAAATAAAAATGTGTTCATTGGCTCTTTATGATCTTTTCATAAATATTTAGCTTTCGGTAGTCTTTGTATTAAGACTTGAATGTTTAAATCTCGTATTTCGGACATACATGTCATTCAAATGTTATTGACATAAATGTCTTTTAATATGTCTATATTAAATTAAATTAAATAAACGAGTCCACTGAAGGCTGAGAGCAGGTTGATGGAGTAGAAAAGCGAAGGGTTAGGATGTTGATTTCGGTTGCAGAGAACCTGGGTTTGCATCTCTGTGATACAATCCTGACTTCCCCTCGTGGTGCGACTGGGGTATTGCAATAAGGGCACAGGAGACCACATACGTACTTAATTGTAAGAAATTATAGCTAAAATGGATAGAATTATCATTAAGCCGCCCGCATGTTATCAGAAATGAGCGGGCCACTGTGACTTGATAATGCCCTCATACTGCTTGACGACGGGCCATTATCACGCCCGTTGTTAGGCAACGTCATAGGATAGGGATAGGTGCATCACGGTCAATAGTGACGTCGTTTGGTTTGTTCTCTGGCGTTACCATATTTGTAAAAGTTGGTCAGTGACATTGGTGTCGATTGCAGTAAATGTTTCCAAACCGATATTGTTGTTTCTTTTTATCTTATGGCAAATTCCATCCATTCTAGCTATAATAACGGTAACGCTATTTTTCAGGGCATTATCATTTGCAGAAGCCCTCGGTCTTTTCAACCGCCCTCCTTCGTCGGGCAGTTAATGGACGAGCTTGGGCTTCTGTAAATGATAATGCCCTGAAAAATAGCCATACCCTTATAATATCAACTTAAGCTGCCACAATCATACGTTTAGTTTAACCAGATTGACAAAAAGATTAAAGAAAGTTTCTATTTTAAGTTTTAGCTAAAGTATCTTTATTACCAAGTCTTTATAGGCATTTAGAAGTTGTAATAATTATGTCAAGGAATATTATAGATAAGGTCTTTATTGTACACAGGGCTTGATTTACGAACTTGATTTAACCTGCGGTGAGTGGATGTTGACATGAAAACCTGGTTACACCAGACAAAACCAGGTTACACCAGACAAAACCAGGTTGCACCCTGGTCCTATAAATTTATCACAAGTTGCCCTTAAATGTTGGGTATGAATAATAAAGACGTTATGCATATGACTTATCATAATATCTTACTTATTGTTCACAGATATTCAATATCAATATTTAAGAACTGATCAAGAGAATCTGATATTGAATGTATGCCAGTAGACTGCCATCATTAGCTTGAAAATAGGAATGGCTAAATCTTGGATAATTTGTTCTGTAAATAATTTACTAATTCATGTCAAAGTGTATTTTAGTCCAATCTAATTGACACAGATGCCTAACTCTGATACCTCTCTGTGTGAAGATCCAAACTTTCCAAAGAAGGTCATGACAGGCGAACTTTGTAATCAGCCTCAAGGCTGGTTTCTAACTTGGTACGAGGTAGCTAACTTGGTACGAGGTAGCTAACTTGGTACGAGGTAGCAAAGCTTTCGACCAGTGTCTGAACTCTCTATCTCCAAAACAAACTTCCAAAGAAACCTTCAATGATGTTTTCAGATCTTTACGCAGAGATCTATTGCATTGGAGTGGAAATCTGATTTAATTGAGATTGGTTTATTCATACTTGTAGGACAAGCAGTCAGTCTTTGGTAATTTAATCAGGCCAGAATTTTTGTGGCTTGTATCCAAGCCTTAATACACCTGCAAAGCTTTATGGTGAAAAGTCATCATGTCCTCTGCAGCTTTGTTTTTGCGCAAATTACACCTAACGTAATGCTCGATAATACATTCAAAATTATTTGTCAAGGTTGAATGATTTTCATAATATTAAATTTCAAGTTTTTGAATGGCATTTAGAAGTGATACACATAAGGAAGAGAATTTATGGATGTCAACTTCTTTATTATGAGGAACACGTTTCAGAGTATATACTTACTCCTTCATCAGGGGATTTATTATTCACCAGATGAAGGAGAAAGCATATTCTCCACAACGTGTTTCATAATATAGAAAGGGACATCCACAAATTCTTCCTCATTTAATTTCAGATTAAAACCTGAATCAGCTATCTGCACTGAAATAAAGAATGACTAAAAATATAACGGAAATTTAGAATTGTAACAAATGGTGCCTTGTTACACGTATTATGCATAGGTGTTGTAAATTGTTAAGATGTTAATATTGAGGCAAGTTTTTACATTGCTCTTCCGCCAAAAGTAAGCTGTAAATTGTTTCCAATTTTACATCTGTTATGTCCATTGTTGGCATGTTTTTACTGTGCACAGCATATCTCCTAGTTCCTGTTGATTAAAGACATGCTGTTGTTGTTGCTAGGTTGTTACAGCTGAAGGCGTTGCTGTGGAGCTGATTTCGTTGCAGTGGAGCTGAAATAGGCTTTTCTGCTGAAATATAGTCAAACCTTGGTTTTCTGACCTTGGGCATGAATAGTCATGTGTTTAGTTTCTTGAGAAATCTCCGATGTTTCACGATTCCATTTTGACAGTACTGTTTGTAAGGTCAAGACGAGTGTCATTACTAGTGGTAGTAGAATAGGAAGTCTGAGTTTATTTCAGTGAAAAATGATTTGATTTTCAATTACAATTTTGTTTCATTCCTAGTTTTCATCACCATGTTCATATCAACCCCCACCTCGACAAATATCAAAATGTCACAGAGTTAACCAGCACCCACTTGGGTGTTGGTCCAATATTGACATGAACAAGATGGCAAGATTAAAACAGAAGTTGATAGGTTTTCTGTCCATTTATTGACAATGAATTTCTGTACATACAGGAAATTGTGAAATGATTCCCATAATATATGACATGTAATAAATCTTATAATCACTGTCGTGTTGTGTCGAGTCATACTTGAGTGAGTGAGTTGGGATTTACACTGCTTTGAACAGTGTTCCAGTTATATCACGGTGTGTCTTCTTGATGTGGAAGAAAGCCCAAAGTGATGCAGGTGAAACCTACAAGCACGGGAAAAGTGCTGACCAACCTAGCATCATAATTGGTTGGTTGGTTGGTTTGTTGTTGAACACCGCACTCAGCAATATTCCAGCTATATGACGGCGGTCTGTAAATAATTGAGTCTGGACCAGACAATCCAGTGATTGATATCATGAGCATCGATCCACGCAATTGGGATTGATGACATGCGTCAACCAAGTCAGCGTGCCTGACCACCCGATCCTGTTTGTCGCCTTTTACAACAAGCATAGTCACCTTTTTCGGCAAGCATGGGTTGCTGAAGACCTATTCTACCCCGGAATCTTCACGGGTCCATCATTATTGGGATGAACCAGGATTTCGAACCCATGATCATAGTTTTCTTCCACGCCTAATGGACACAACTTTGCACAGGAGTTGCAGTGCCCCCTTTTTTTCTAAGCCCGTCACAAGTGTAAGTCAGATGGACACAATGAGGAAGGGAGTGAATGTTCAATCCTAGCTACCATATTCTCCATATTAAGCATCCCCTGACCAACTCGACCAATCTGTAACTTTTGTTTGCATTTAACACCGCACTCAGCATTATTCCAGCTATATGATGTCGTTCTGGACTAGACAACCCAGTGATTGACATCATGAGCATCCATCCAGGCAATTGGGATCGATGACATGCATCAACCAAGTCAGGGAGCCTGACCACCCGATCCCGTTAGTCGCCTTTTACAGCAAGCATGGGTAGCTGAAGACCTATTCTAAACCAGATGTTTCTGGGTATGATCTGTAAGTTACCTGCTGAGACCGAAAATTACACGAGTCCAAAATTTCTTGTGTATCTCACAGATTATTTATAGAAATCAGCAGTGTAGAAGGGGAATATAACTGACTCGTAACTATTATCAATAGGGGCGGTGCTACAATCGAACCACGTAATTCCAGCGTAGTTCGGCAAGGGTGGAAACTTGACTTTTGAAGGGATCCCCACATGAGGTACTGGGGATCTATTCTGAACAACATGACAAGGGGTTACCAGAGGGGCACAACCCTCTTTTTCAGACACATGCTTCAGCCAATGTCAGGGTCTATATATCACATCTATTCATTTAGTGGCTTGGGTTGTGTGCACCCAACCACCCTTTTCAAAATCAACCTGTGATACGACAAAGTACTACTTGCATGATTAAGTTCAGTCATGTTGGTCAGGAATCATACATTGAAATATATTGCTTACATATCTCTAATATCACTGCCTGGAGCCTCATACAACAAAGACCTTAGCACTGTGACCACTGAAAGTTTTAATGTTACTGAAAAGACAGTCACGTCAGTTGTGCTAAGATGGCAATGTGATCACCGCCCTGTGGACCTCGGTCCAAATTGGGATTTTGGTCTACGATGGCAGTCATGACTACAACATTGTGACATAGATTGATGATATCTTGCACTATGATCACTGTATGGAACAGGGCCAAGCTCCTTCCCATGTACCTCTAGTTCCCCTCTCATCCCCACTCCTCCAAGGGCAGATACTTGTAAGCATCTGGGGGTGGGGGCAGGAGCGAGGGGGGCAGGTTGGGGATGTTGGCAAGGACTGGAGGTAGTGAACACACCGGCAGCTGGAACACTGCTGCTTCATCCGATGGTTCTGTGATGCCACTCTTCACATCTTCTTCAGTCTTCAGTTTCTTGGACCGTTTGTCCAGCCATTCCTCAAGTGTGGGCACCTTCTCCTCCTCTTGCCGCTGCTTCTGTGTGGCCTCTCTCCTACTCCTGACTGAAGAAGCAAGACAAATTATTACAATATCACAGGCTGATTTAGACCTTTCTCCTACCCTTTCTGTTAAAGGATTGTAAAAACTTGTTATACAAGTGCAGTGAAAGTATATATTCAATTAACATAAGAACTTCATGCATAAACCTACAGAACAGCAGAATGAATGAAATGTGTAATATTCCAGCTAAATATATAACCAGGACCAGACAATCCAGTGATTGATATTGTGAGCAACGATCCACGTCGTCAGGGAATGATGACACGCCATCAACCAAGTCACCGAGCCTGACCACCCAATACATTAAGTCGCCTCTTTCGACCAGCATCGGTTTCTGCAGACATATTCTTACCCGTAAACCCGACAGGTGAATGTCTGAAGGATGACAAATTTGAAAAACATTTGATATTTCATGCCACTATCCACTTAAGAAAGCAGGCTGTAGTCCACAAATGGATCTTCGCGCCAAGATCATCACAACCTCCATACTGTCACCTAGACTTATGACAGTCGTAGCGCTAAGATGATCACAACTACCCTACTTTCACTTGGACTTTCAACAGTTGTAGTGCTAAGATGATCACAACACCTTTACTTTCACCTAGACTTACGACAGTTGTAGCACTAAGATGATCACAACTACCCTACTTTCACCTAGACTTACGACAGTCATGGCGCTAAGATGATCACAACTCCCCTACTTTCACCTAGACTTACGACAGTAATGGCGTTAAGATGATCACAACTCCCCTACTTTCACCTAGACTTACGACAGTCGTAGCGCTAAGATGATCACAACTACCCTACTTTCACCTAGACTTACGACAGTCATAGCGCTAAGATGATCACAACACTCCTACTTTCACTTGGACTTTCAACAGTCGTAGCGCAAAAAAGATCACAACTACCCGACTTTAACCTAGACTTACGACAGTCGTAGTGCTAAGATGATCACAACACCCTTACTTTCCCTTGGACTTATGACAGTCTTAATGCGAAGTTGATGACAACTCCCCTACTTTCACATGTGTTATTAATATGAGAATGCCTGCTATTATTATACGTATCCAACACAAAGAATATTTGTACAAGTAATGAACGGCAAAAATAGCTACCGTCTCTCAGACTTGTAGTTTTTGTTAATGAGATATATGAAAGAAAGATGATACATTGATAACTAATAAATCTGAAATGTGTACATCTTTTCAGACCCAATATACAAATGGTGCTCCATGACAAATTATCCTCCAACAAAATGTCGTACTATTCGCCTCCTGGCCACATATACGAAATAAATCTGTGTGTCTGTCTACTCACTTTCATTCTCTAGTTCTTCCCTGACCTTGTCCGTCACATGTGACCACCGGCAGTTGACACCATAATGACATTCCCCTGGAAAAACAATAGCATTTATATATCTAGTGATACTCTAAACATAAAACAACATCTAAGACTGACATCCATGTTTTATCACCTCAGCATCCTTGACTCTCCATTCTATTACGAAAAAATACCCCGACCCATTTGCTGCCAAAGCTTTGCATGGAGCCTGATTCAAATAGGCTGATGCTAAAAAAGCCATCCAATCAAATTACTCTCACGAGCAAGAGAAATTCTCTGCTAAGTAAGAGGAGATATTGAGGTAGTGATGCCACTTCTGAAATGAAGCTATAAAAGGTAAATGGGTCTAGGGTATTTATGAATTGTTTTTAGATTTAACACTTTGGAATATTGCATCTTCCCGAGGCAAGTGAGTTACCTGACTATGAAAGTCAAGTTTCCACCCTTGCCAAACTAGGCCGGAATTTCGGGGCTCAATTGTAGCACCACCAGTGGCTATTACCAGTTATGTCCCTTCAGTGCCAATCAGGTTCCACCTCTAATATCAATTGCATTTGCTTCAAACAAAATGGCGGCCCCTAGTCAAGACGATCTGATCGACAATCAAGATCTATATTGTGATAAAACAGGTCTCACCTCGCGAAATGCATCAAATCATGTGAACACCTTGATTAAAAACATGAAAAGATTTGGAAAATATCTGTTGACGCCGAGTTGGAGGTGCACATGCTTTGCAAATCCTGCAATCAACTGAAATCTGCAAAGAAGCTTAAGAACTGGATGTCGATTTTGATTGGACTATGCATAGAAAATATAACTCCATAATTCCTGCCTAGTTCAGTAAGGGTGGAAACTGGACTTTCACAGTCAGTTAACTCCCTTGTCTCAGGAAGTTGGGAATATTGAGGATGTCATCTCAGCTGCAAGAATGCATACTGCTGTCTGGGTTCAATTTGAGTGCGTGAGTAAATGAGGTGTCAGTTACCACTAATTTGAACAGTAGTGAGTGAGTGAGTTGGGTTTAACGCCGCTTTCAAAAAAGTATTCCAGTCATATCACGGCATGTCCGCTTAATGTGGGAGGAAAGCCCAAAGTGATGCAGGTCACCTCGGTGAAACCCACGACCACGGGTATGGTGCTGACAAACCTAGAAACATAATCGGGGCGAACCGGGTTTCGAACCAACAATCATAGGTTTCTGGCGTGCCCAAGGAACGCAACTCTGCACAGCGAATCGGGGCGCCTTAGACGACTGGGCCACCCATGCCCCCAATTTGAACAGTATCTCAGCTAGGCATACATCACACCTTGTCAGCTTAATGTGGGTTGGGTGAGGTGGTGTTTAACATTATTCACATGAGTCTGGCTGCTTGAACTAGTCCGGACTAATGCCGATTTTATAGTGCTAGCCCACTGAGATACCCGCCACAGTTTAACAATGATACCCCACTCAGACGCAGGATACTGACTCCGAGCTGACGAGTCCTTGTGTCACATAAAAATACACGCCCGATGCAGTTCAACTATGAAACAGAAAGTCCCTTGCCTCTAGTTACCATCATAACAAAGCTAGCAGCACTTTCATTCAACATGTTCAAATGACATGACCCTCTATTTCAGCAACGACCTGTCAGGAAATTTCAAATTGAAAACAAAGTTACTGTAAGCACAGGACCGCCTCCTAGTGGATAGAGTGCCTGCCCAGGGAGAGGAAGGTTGGGTGTTCGGAACCTATCCGTGTCGTACCAAAAGTAAAAGATGGTACTTGTTGTTACCCTGCCTGGTGCTTGGCATTAAGGGGCTAAAACAAGGACTGGTCGGCTCGGAGTCAGTATACTGTGTCTGAGTGGGGTATTCATGTTAAACTGCTGGATGGTATCTCAGTGAGCTAGCACTATAAAACCAGCATCAGTCCGGACTAGCACAAACAGCCACACACACACATACACGTGCATCCATGCACGTCGCTATATAAGTGCAACAATCTTGAACCGAACGTTAAACCCCATTTCACCTCGCTTCTGGAACACTATCAATGTTACTGATGCAGTGTTTGTAAATATGCTTCAAACTGACCACAAGTTTTTCCCTTATGTCTCCTAAGTGGCCTGCGAGAACTGCATGTGACAGTGTTGAGAATGAAGGTCAGACTTCACATACCCATGGTACACAGAGACACACACAGAGACACACACACAATTCACTATATAATCTTCAACACGATGTTAAACCCATCTCATCTCACCTCACCGACTGTAGCACACTTTAATTGTCTCAGTGTGTGTATGGGGGACACGGGTGGCCCAGTCGCCTAAGGCGCCGCGATTCGCTGTGCAGAGTTGTGTCCCTTGGGCACGCCAGAAACCTATGATTGTGGGTTCGAATCCCGGTTCGCCCCGATTATGTTTCTAGGTTTGTCAGCACCATACTCGTGGGTTTCACCGAAGTGGTAAACATCTGAGACCGGCATCACTTCAGGCTTTCCTCCCTCATTAAGCTGACACGCTGTGATATGACTGGAATACTGTTAAAAGCGGCGTTAAACCCAACTCACTCACTCACTCAATGTGTGTATGACCTTGACACTGCATATCACCTCACAGATGGCATGTATTTGTCATATAGACATGAAAGAAGAAATCATTATAAGTCATTACTTTACGTTTAATTTAAATAGATCATTTATCACAAGTGTTTCTCAATATTGAAAATATCAACCGAGTCTTTGTTAATTGGTATTTGCCGAGCATTAAGCAAGGAAATTACTGTATACTGGTTGAAGTAACTAACAAGGACATAGTCTGTCTTACAGACCCTGATAAAAATATATATCAAATACAGCCCATGCAAGTCTATAATGTTTGGCAAGTCTAGATCACTGCAGTATCAGGAAAATGAAGAGAGTCACTGGGCTCCTTTTTATTATATTTTTATTAAGATAACTGAACAACTGTTTTTTTATGTACGATATGTTCATTTCAGAGACTAGATGTTAGTCTAACAAGGACACAGTACCTGTAGTTTTGAAGTTGTGGCACAATGGTAGTTTGGAAGACTCCGCTAAGACCTTGGCCGGATCTGGAACAGAGAAAACATGCTTGAAACGTGAGTGTGTGAGTGAGTGGGTGGGTGGGTGAGTTGGGCTTTGTGCTGCTTTGAACAGTATTCCAGTTGTTTGTTTGTTTGTTGTTTAACGCGAAAATCAGCAATATTCCAGCTATATGACGGCGGTCTGTAAATAATCGAGCCTGGACCAAACAATCCAAGGATAGATGTCATGAGCATCGATTCACTCAATTGGGATACAATAACATGCATCAACCAAGTCAGTGAGCCTGACCTCCCAATCCCGTTAGTCGCCTCTTACGACAAGCATAGTCGCCTGAAATAATTTTAAGAAAATGACCGCCATTATAGAAAATCAATGCGAGAGATGGGGATTCAAGGTTAGAAAACGTCCCCAGTAGCCTGTGCTACTCATTAGAGATGGCTAAGTGGATGGGATGGTGAGGCTCGGCTGATTACACGTCATCTTGCCATCTTGCTGACGATATCAATCACTGCATTGTCTGGTCCAGACTTGATTATTTACGGGCCACTGTCGTATAGCTTGAGGCATCTTTGATATTGGGGTCGGTGGGGTAGTGGAGTGGTTAGTGGTAGCTTTGTTCGTCACCCTAAAAGCCCAGGGCAATTCCCAACAGGTATATTACGTGTGAAGCCAGCTGCCACTCTCTGATCATGCTGATATTAACTGTTGTCACTCTGACCTTCTAGAGACCATCCGTAAAATCAAATTTGGTCATGTCTGTTAAGAATTGAAATCAATATATTTGCATTTATAGTTTGTTTGTTGTTTGTTAAGGCGGTCTGTAACTTATAGCGTCTAGACCAGACAATCCAGTGATTGACATCATGAGCATCGATCCACGCAATTGGAATACGATGACATGCTTCAGCCAAGTCAGCGAGCCTGACCACCCGATTCTGTTAGTTGCCTCAAGCATAGTCACCTTTTACGGCAAGAATGGGTTGCTGAAGACTTTTTTTAACCTGGATCTTCACGGCTATTTTGCATTTATTGAGTATAAACATAAAAATCAGTGTGTACTCTGTGTAACTCCGTGTAGCAGATCTACACAAAATATGCACACTGGTTATTAGGGCTGGGACGATACACCAACTGTGCGATCCGATATGTTTCACGATATCTTGGTCACGATCTGATATGTATCACGATGCTTGCATGTGCTCTCATCTGTGGTGCGTAAGTCATCTTGTTCATAGACAGTATGGCCAAATACCTGGCACACTGACAATTTACAGTTGATAGTGTCAAGAATGCCGCAATGGATGAAAATATTTACTTTTTCCATATAATTTTCATTACTAATTAGTGTTTGGTGAAACAGTTATTAAAGAAAACAATTAGAGTAAGAATCAAAATTGTTTTACTTAGTGTGCAACTGTGATCGATACTTGTATCGAGCAGTAAAACATCACGTTTCACAGATGCGTCAGTGTATCGGCCCACTACTACTATATTTTATGTTTATTCCGCAGAGTTGTGTCCCTTAGTCTTGTCAGGATCCTATGATAATGAGTTGTAATCCTGGTTTGCCTTATAATGTTTCTAGGTTTGTCAGCTTGTGGGTTTCAACAAAGTGATAAACATCTGAGACCTGTAGCACTTTGAACTTTCCTCACACATATAGCTGACACACCTTTATACAACTGGACTACAAATCCAGAATAGGTCTTCAGCAACCCATGCTTGCCGTAAAAGGCGACTATGCTTGCCGTAAGAGGCGACTAATGGGATCGGGTGGTCAGGCTCGCTGAACAAGAACTAGAACAAGAATCTGTTAGAATATGAAGCTAAGAATTAGAGTAAATGATTATGTGTGTCCTGTCATTAGCCTACCACATACCTCTTGAATCGTAACTTAAGCAATGATAAGTGAAATGTCGAACAGTTGAGAGCCAAAGTCTAAACAGAACCTATCTTGTCATGAACTCAGAATAAGGGGTGAAGAGACAATGTCTCAGACATGATAAATCTAATTTCGAAGTTATCAAATTATTAAATTACCTCTTTTTATGAAAGAATCGTAATGGGCTTTCTTTTGCTTTTGATGATATACACCCATCAAATGATTCTTCCTGTTGGTTGCGTTATCTGCAAAAGATTTATCGCAATAATCACAATAATACCGTTTTCCCATCGTCGAAGTTTTCCGAGGTTTTGTACACAGTTTTCGTGATATCCACGGGTAGGTAACTCTAATCTCGGGATAGACTAAAAGTCGGACTGGCTATGATAAACTGGTTCCACAGTTGGAACGCGACGCAAGCTTAGCGCGATTTAGTTTAGGTAGATAGTAAGCTGGTTCCCGGCTCCCTATGCGCGTCGTCAACTTGATATTGGAGACGGGGCCCAGCTTACCCAGTCCTTGGCTATGAAAAGTTCTCCTTGGCCAAATACTCATAAGCGAAGTCAATACTTCGATGCAAAACACACACGTAACATTAATCACACACCATAAATGTGCAACACAATAAAGTTATTGAGAGCAAATTGCTAGAAAATCGTGAGTTCTGTAAGCACCCGTGAAACAAGATTTTTTCCCATCCGAATTCAAAATATATTTTATGGATAAGTAACTGAATTCTGTATGTCACACCAGCGGAAGTCCAGCAAAACCGCCCCATTTGAAAGTGAAACGATAGATCACTCCATTGATGAGTTTACGTGTTTGAAACCAGTTACTGCGGTAGGCCTATATCTATTTAATAGATAATTGTTTTTTGATTTGTTGGGACAACCAATCATAGAAAATGCATTGCAACTTTGTAGGGAAACTATTTATCATCCATTATGAGGCCAGATTTAAAAAAGAAGAAGAATGTTTACAAATTTAAAAAAATACGAAAGGTTTAATATACTATTAATTATTAAAAACAGTGGGTTGTTTAATTGAGTGGACCAGATATATGTAAAATGTTTACAAAAAGCTCTTGTACTTTCACTATGAATATATTCCTATGTATTTTACTCCCGAATATCAGAATTTTTCTCTGTAATGTATAAACATGCATACGACACATATCTTACTTTTACTTTTATTAACTCTCGCAAAAAGCATAACACAAACATTATAAGATTTTATATACACTATACGAATCTTTACGAATGAATACCATATATCCATTTAAAAAAATAAAAAAAATAGAAAATAATTTGATTTCCTTTATTTCTTGCTTTTTTAAAAGAAGATTTACTATATTATTACATATACCACTGTGTCCAGAAGTGGCCCAGGTTGCTATTTTTTAAGAGAAAAGGTATCAATATAATTGACACATATCACATCCTCTATATCTCATGTCAGTGATCGTAGGTACATGTGTACCGAAATGCGAGCGTTGGAGATATCGAGGAGACATATCACCACCTCGTGCATTTTTGAGTTTTCCAGAATATCTTGTAACACCTTTATAGTTAAACTAAAAACTGTTTCCATATTCTGCTCTATATTGTATATAATTCACATCATATATAATATATTTTCTTCTTCTATTTCATGAGAGGGCACGGGTAGCCCAGTCGTCTAAGACGCCGCAATTCGCTGAGCAAAGTAGCGTCCCTTTGTCACGCCAGCGTTGCAGGACTCAGATGTTTACCACTTTGGTGAAACCCACGAGTATGGAGCTGACAAACCAAGAAACATAATCGGGTCGAACCGAGATTTGAACCCACGATCATAGGTTTCTGGCTGCCCAATGGACGCAACTCTGCACAGCGAATTGCGGCGCCTAAGATTTGTTTGTTTGTTTGGTGTTTTTTGTATAACGCCGCACTCAGCAATGTTCCACCTATATGACCGTGGTCTGTAAATAATCGAGTCTGGACCAGACAAACCAGTGATTGACATCATGAGCATCGATCCACGCAATTGGGATCGATGACATGCGTCAACCAAGTCAGTGAGCCAGCATTGGTTGCTGAAGACCTATTGTACCCCGGATCTTCACGGATCCACACAATTGGGATCGATGACATGCATCAACCAAGTCAGCGAGTCTGACCACCCGATCCCGTTAGTCGCCTCTTACGACAAGCCTAGTCGCCTTTTACGGCAAGCATGGGTTGCTGAAGACCCATTCTACCCCGGATCTTCACGGGTCCACCCAATTGTGATGCGATCATGACATGCATCAACCAAGTCAACGAGCCTGACCACCCGATCCCGTTAGTCATCTCTTACGAAAGCATAGTCGCCTTTTACGGCAATTCACGGGTTGTGCCCATGTGGGGAATCGAACCCGGGCAATCGGCGTGACGACCAAACGCTTTAACCACGACAAGGCATTTCTAAGGGACCGACTATATTAATTTCGTTGATGGGTGTCTTTGATATCTTATCTTGAAAATCAATACATTTGCTCTTTTCGGCATGAATTAATAACATCTCAAACATGTTAGGGGTCATGTGGTTGCAAGTTCATTTCCTACCCTAGTCTTCATCGAACCAATATATTTTTGCACAAAATTATTCAGCCACAGATTACATTTCACAAACTGTTGCAGGAATGAGTAATGGTTAAATAGACATTATCAAATTTAACAACAGTTCTTTCAATAATTTCTATTACATAAAAAAACTCGGTATACTGACCTTTGACCCTCAGTTAATACGTTTTCACTCGGGTGGTACTTTATACATATTGTTCATAATTTTTTTAAATTTTTTTTTCATAATCATCATTATGATAAAAATGCATTAAAATGTTAAGGCGCTTGGCAACTCATGGTCGACCATCCAATGTATTACATTTCCATTCTATTAGGATGAATACCGCTAAAAATTACCATTTATAATTGCTAAATCATTTGCGATATTTGGAACAAAGTCCAAGCCATATTACGGAGAGGGGCGTCAAAATCGGCTCTACATGGTGTACCCATGTGGTGAACTGGTATGACGAGTCAAGGCTTTAGCCTCGCTAGACAAACCCCACCGCCAATGGCTTTGTCGGTTAAGATTATTTATATAAACAAAGGTCAAATCAGGTTAGAAATGTTGTATATTTCATGCAGGTGTTCACCAGAATAGTCACGTGATGTCATGGTTACGAGTTTAGCCAATCGGGAAACACTTCCGTTGCACGAGTTTTTCCTGCGCGTAATCCAGACTCAATGGATCGAAGCAGACGACGCTCACTGTATCAAATGCAGCGGTGGGCTTAGACCCCTATTTCTGATGTTTAAATTATTCACGCGCTACTTTGAACGCTGCGTTTAAACCTTTGGTATGTCATGTGCATTATGAAGACTTTTCACGAAAAAACATTTTTCAGCTTGCTTTCCTGCCCTGTCGATACAAAACAGCACCAGAGCACCAGGCCGGTAAGAGCGTTTCTCTGTCACTCTGTGTGTGTGTGTGGGGGAGGGGGGGGGGGGGGGGGGGAAGACATTGTCCCATGTCGTCAATGAATGAAGTATATTATTTAATGTAAGAATGCAGTATGTACATAAAACATATTGACTCTAAATTCTAAATTCCTATTTGGGTACAAGACCCGGATTTTCGTCACAGGAGCGAACGTTTCAACATGGTATCTCCATTCCACCAGTGATGTAAACAAGAGAAAACACTTTCGTTGCCGTCATAACAGCTTCCTCAACACACTTATGCAGTGGTAATATACGATTTTAAAACTCCACCCGTACGAACAAGTGGTATATTACTTATCAGTATGTTTTAGATAAAGAATGAATGAATGAGTATGGTTTTTACGCCGCTTTTAGCAATATTCCAGTAATATCACGCGGGGACACCAGAATTATTTTTGTCAATACATTTTCACTAGGAGAATTTTGTCCAACGCCTCCACACATTGGCCAACAACACTATATGCATACATGCAGAGCATTTGCTGTGAAATGACCGTTTAACCATTCATTGCAGCTCTATCTTGTCCAGGGCCTAGATTCAATATATATGGCAATCGGTTTGTTTAAAATTTTGTTTTGTCAAAGATTAATCTAAAATATTTACTGTATGTTATAAGGAAATTTGAAATTGCCGAGAATACTGTCGCTGCACTAAATGGCTTGAAGAGTAAAGCTAGATTGTTTTCATATGAAGGGATTTATGTCCATATAGATTTACAATTTGGAATATAAATTTTGAAATTTTAAAATTAGATGCTATTTTATATTAATGTTTTTGCCCAGTTTAAGAGTTTTAGAGTTGGCGGGGGTAAATAATAGATCAGCTAATATAAGTAATGTGTTTAGGAAGGTTTCAGTTCTTGCCCTCAGGGCTACCTTTAGGGATTACTTAAGAATGAACTTTCACTTTGTGTGAGTTCACTGAAGTATGAACCTTCATAGAGTGTGGCCCAAACTGAATGAACTTCGGGGCTTGATTGGCTCCAGCAATGGCGACTGGTATGATGGCTGCATGGAGTGTGTTCACGTGTTGTTTCAGGTGAACAATAAACTTGCCTTGACATGTGTTTGTGACGGGTGCCACCGGTGGTGCAGGATACGCTCACCTTTTCGCGAGCACCTGGTATCATCACTACTCTCGAGTGATTCATAAACGCGTGCTCATGACACAGCTGGAATCGTACAATCGAGTCAGCTTTCAGCAGAGATTTCTATTGAATGTGGTAAGGGTATTGTCGCTTTTATTTACTTGAAGAAGAATGGGGGCAGGACTTTGTTGGATTGTGGTTGGGTCGGAGGCTGATGTTGATGCTGGGATGTTACTTGCTACGGCCGATTATACCATGAAATAATGTGAATGAATGAATCATAATGAGTGAGTCTTTTAATGTTTTGGCTCCAGCTCAGATGCGCGAAACCATATCATGATCAGTTCGTCTCGTATGTTTTAGTTTCAGTTGTGACATCCCACTTCCTACAATAACGAGTTAGTCTTTTAATGTATTAGTTCCATTTAAGACGCGCCACTTCCTATTAAAATGAGTTATAATTTTAATGTTTTAGCTCAAGTTGAGATCCATCTAGATATCTTTGACGATGCAGATACAGACATTATCGTTTTCAATTTTATGGTTATTGAAATCAATTGGTCTTTGAATGTGTCAGTATCAGTTGAGGCGCCCCATTTTTTATTAAGATGAGTGTATCTTTTTTAGCTCCAGCTAAGACGCATTACTTCTATAAAAATGAGCTAGATTCTTTTGCGAAACGATCGTAGCCCTAAAATTATCGTCAAGTTATTGTAAGGAAATTGTAAGCTATCGTAGCCTATTTTCGAAACT